TTGTACTTATTCTGCTGTAATGGGGAAAGGGTGCTGCAAATGATAAGGCAATAAAGTTCAGTAACAAGCAAGGTCATTTATTAAACATAAGAAAATTTGAGTGTATATGAATATTACATACGTCGCTACGTTTAGTGAACGACGCTGAGTAAACAATTATTTAATGAGAAATTGAGAATTTTAACAAAGTCCGCAAGTCTTTATTTTTCGACAAGCGGTGATCAAAACAAAGCGGGAAAGGATTAAATCCGAATCTTAGTATTAATTGTGTAAGCACGGTGGAGAAAAGCTCGACCTAGTAATAGGTTACTAGCGCCTTCTCCTCGTGCTCTAGGCTTTCAAGGCCACGATTATGCGGAAACCGCTTATCCGAAATCGAGCCACCACGACACTGTATAATCGTAGACCTACCAGTGCATCGACTTGCGCGTCTGGCGACTCGGGAATCTGGTTCCCCTACCAAGACGAGTTCGGAGGACCGTGGCGACTTGGAAGCGAACTTCCCGACCAACAATCTTACGAACCTCACTATCACGAATGACAGTGACGCAAGTATACACCGAGACCCCGCTAAGGGCAGTGTAACGTGTAAGAATGACGCCTCGGCGCAGCTCGCAGTTAAGTGGACAACTTGCCACTTTCACTTGCGAGTGCGTGAAGCGCCATCTCGCGAGGTCGTGTGTAATCAAAACTCATCGATCCAATTTCAAGAAAGGCATGTGGTACATACTGGTCAAAATAATAAAATATTAAATGACAAAAAATTTAATTTTTAGGCTTATCATAATGGCATTAAAATTGAAGATGATGAACTTAACAATCCCATACTAAAGGCTGTAGAAAAGCTAAATTAGTGCAATAAAACGAACATCAAAATTGAAAGCAATGATACAATTGTTAAATATCGTTTAACACAACAGATGCTAAGGATCATAGCCCTACCATTTATCCAAATGATAGTATTGCGATACCAAGAAATTTTTCATTGTCTACGAATTTGTCAAAAAGATGTACTATTTATAATTCTAACAGGCCCACTCAGCAAAAGACTCTGGGCAGTGAAAGCTGTAGAAGAAAAACTGCACATAAAGATATTTGTGGTCGATGAAATTCAAGATAAGATAATAGTAAGTGACCGAGGACACTTTAGGAAGTTAAAATCCAAGGCAAATTCGCCTCTCACTGCGTGTCGCTCGCGCACACGCATGGTTGACTTGTAAGTTCGGTGCAGCGGTGGGCATCGTGCTCGAAAAGCTTTGTCCCTTCGTTGAAACGCGTATAATACTAGCCGCCTCATATGCAAGAAACTCGCCGATTCTCTTGCGGATTGGCAGGAGACATCTGGCGACCGAAGTACGAACTATTTATTGCTCGAGGAGGCCGACCAATTTTACGACCGGTCTCTTGTAAGACCCTCTGGCTGTGGCGACCGTTACCACTCTTACCAGGCCGTCGCGCCCAGGATGCACCTCAATTATCTTGGCCAACGGCCAACGAGCACAGGGTGTGAGTTCATCCTTGACGAGCACTATGTCGCCTACAGCGAGATTGCGCTTAGGTAGCTGCCACTTGCACCTTTTCTGTAGAGTTTGCAGGTATTCTTTGGACCAGCGTTCCCAAAAAAGCTGTGTAAATTGCGTCACTCGCTTCCACCGTTCCAAGGTGCTGACGTTTTCTCTCATCAGCGGTGACTCTGCTACTACGAATGATGGCTCGCCAATTATTAGATGCGCAGGCGACAATACGCTTTCGGGCTCTGGGGCACTGGGCAGCGGCATGAGGGGCCTTGAATTAAGCACTGCTTCAATCTGAGTCAAGAGCGTTGAGAATTCTTCATAAGTCAACACAGCGTCGCCGATCATACGCTTGAGATGGTGTTTGACGGATTTAACACCCGATTCCCATAGACCTCCGAAATGAGGTGAACCGGGAGGGTTAAAATGCCAAGTGGTCTCGCATTGATCGCTCAAGACTGTGATGACGGACTTGTAGAATTCCGAGCTCTTTGCGTGCAGCCGACGTAGCTCGGCGTCCGCACCCACAAAATTCGTGCCTTGGTCGCTGTATAAATGCCGGCACGGCCCCCGACGAGCGGTAAACCGGCGAAAAGCGGCTATAAACGATTTAGTATCGTACGCAGAAACTGCCTCCAAACGCAACGGAGTAACGCCGCCAGTGCGCGAGAACTAGCACGATATGAGGCAGTAAATTAGGGCCCGTCATGAGGTGCTCATTGAGTGAATGCCCAGAGGCATTTCGAGCAGAGGCATTGAACACTGGCCGTACTCGAGTAGTAGTGCTGCTTTCTTTCACCACTGCGTGATGGGGTAAGAAATAATGCGCTTGGGTATCTTGTGGCTTGATTTTAATTTTTCGCATTTGGTCAGCTCTGATCATCTGTCGCATGGTATTTTTGTAATCCTCGTATAAGGCCGGATTCTTACAAAGCTTGCGTTCGAGGGAGAGTAAGCAGCTGCGGGCAATTTGACGCGAATTCTCCCAATTTGCAGGCAAATTGGGCTTTATGGGCAGCCTGACTTGATATCGACCATCGCGGAGTCGAACAGTATGTTTGACGTAATGTTCTTCACACATTTTGTCCTCTGATGACCAAGGCAAAACGTGAGGCGGTTCCTCGACTTCCCAAAAGGCTTTCAACTGCTCGTCCAGCCTGTCCTCTGTTTGCACGCAAACAATCGTGCCTTCTTTCTTGGATTTCTTTGCACTGCCTGAGAGAATCCAGCCAAGCTGTGATTTTATAGCGATTGGAGCTTTCTCGTCGCCTTTTATTAAGCCGGTCTGCACGACTCGAGCGTGTATTTGAGTGCCAAGTAGAACATCTACTCGGCCCGGTTTCGAGAAGTACGGATCGGCCAACTGCAATCCTTTGAGATGTTCCCACATATCGGCGCTTTGGCATGAAGGTTGATAGGTCGTAATTAACGGCAAAACGTAAGCTTTAAAGGAAAGCTCAAAAGGGGACTGGAAATGAGGACGCAGTACTATCTCGACTTCAGCTCGAGTTTTATCACGCCCTTCTCCTATCCCTGAGATAGGTACGTTCACTCGACGTTTTTTCAATCGTAGACGCTGGCACAGTTCCTCCGTGATGAACGAGGACTGAGCACACTGGTCTACAAGCGCTCGAACCACCGCAAACGGACCCTCGTCACCTGAGATTCGCACGTGAGCGGTGGCAAGCAACGCCTCCAAATCATCGTCTATCTTTTCAACTGAGACAGCGGCCAACACGTTGCGCACAGTAGTCGAGTTTTCATTGGGGCTCGTGGCTTCTTCCTGGACACGCTTAGAAGCTTCATTTTTAACTTTTGACTTTTTCGATGGTAAGTGTATGAGCGTATGATGTTTGCCGTTGCAGTTGAAACAAGCCGTTGGAGCTTCGCAATCCTTTATCATGTGAGCGCCCAAGCACTGATAGCAGAGGCGTTTCTGACCCAACACTCGCTTTCTCTCTTCAACGCTGAGTTTACGAAATGCAGGACAGTTTTCGATCGAGTGTGGCTCCGAGCAGACAGGACACGAATTCTGGCTTGCGCCCACCTGCACGAAATTCGCTGATTTGCGTCCTTTACTCGTGACGGCTTTAGACTCGCTCGCAGCTTGAGGAGTCCTTTTCGCAAAATCCTTTGTACTCTCCAGCAAAGAGAGAGCGTTTCTCTCCGCTTCGAGGAATTTGCAAAGATTCTCGAATTCATCGGGTCTCGTAGGGTCGTCTGCGCGTTTAACACTGTCTTCCCACTTCGCCTGACATTTTTGAGTTATCTTACTCCTAGTCAGAAATACGGTGAAGTGATCCCAGTGTTCAGTTGGACTGCCCAAGGCTTTTAACTCAATTTCTAAGTCGCTGAAAAAGTACTAAAACTCATCTTAAAAGAATAACTGGCTAATGTGTTCGATAGGAAATTTTCTCAGCTTTCCAATGGTGGTATCAGATTTTCCGATAAGTCGAACATTCACCGAGAATATCGCCATCAAACGTGCAAAGCTAAATATCTCGAAAAACTAGGTACGGAAAAAGTGATCTTTGATGTCTATTTTTGATTTTTCCTGTTGAAAATGAGATTTTTCGAAAAATCTGACTGCACCATGAGAAAGCCAAAGAAATTTCCTATCGAAAGCATATCTTCATTTATTTTTCAGTGGAATTACGAGCTAGTTTTGATTGTAGTGAGCCGAAAACCTCGCGACCGCGCTGAATTAGCTGGGAAATAGAAAACAACGAACAAAGTAAAAGATATTCCCATGTATAACATTGTAATTCGACTCAAAAAATGAATAAAGATATGCTTTCGATAGGAAATTTCCTCAGCTTTCTCATGGTGCAGTCAGATTTTCCGAAAAATCTCATTTTCAACAGGAAAAATCAAAAATAGACATCAAAGATCACTTTTTCCGTACCGATTTTTTCGAGATATTTAGCTTGACATGTTTTATGGCGATTTTCTCGGTGAATGCGCGACTTATCGGAAAATCTGATACCACGATTGGAAAGCTGAGAAAATTTCCTATCGAACACAGTAGCCAGTTATTTTTTTTAAATGAGTTTTGATACTTTTTCAGCGACTTAGAAAATGAGTATTAAGCCGTATTTACGAGAAAACATGATTTTTCGTCCTCTAAATCACAAAAGTAGCTATAAAAATAAGCACTATTGAAATTTCAATGGTTCCTACGTGGTTACATGTTCCTAGGACCCCCAAAAACATTTCCCGGGGGTCCGTATCTGCGTAGGTTGAAAAAAAAATTTGCCGCGATTCTACCTCCAAAAATGCGTTTCATTTAGAGAATTGTTCGTTTAATGTATCATCATATCATGTTCGAGATATTTTTTTTTAAATTAGATTCGCAATCAGTTGATCCTATGCAATGAAATAAAAAAATAAAATAAGCGGATTTAACCGTTCTTCGACGAAATTGAACATAGGTATATATTCTATACATTTTATAAAAATGTATCAAGTCACAATGCGTGAGTGGTGCGTCATATCGATGTGAGCTTTGAGGTTTCTTCTTTTTCCAAACGTTTTTCCGCATATATCGCATGCATGGATGATATTATTATGCGATGATTTAACATGTTTATAAAATTGAGATGGATATTTGTATTTTTCTTCACAGAAATTACATGCATAGCTAATACCATTATGCTTCGCATTCATGTGGACTTTAAGATGAACCTTTCTTCTATATTTTTTACCGCAATCAGCACACGAGTAGGTAATGCCATGATGTACTGATTTGACATGATAATTTAAATTGCTCTTAGATGAGAAATTTTTTTCGCATATTTTACATGTGTGAGTGACACCATTATGCACTATATCGATATGATTTTGAAGATGGTCCTTTCTTTTGAATGTCTTGCCGCATTCATCACACGAGTAGGTAATGCAATGATGTACTGATTTGACATGACTATTTATATTACTCTTAGTTGAGAAATTCTTTTCGCATATTTTGCATGAGTGGTTTGGTTCAATTCTTCCGTTATTCGCTCTACCGATACATGTTTTGATTCTATGTTTGTTGCTTCACTTATTTGCGATTCTTCTTTTATTTTTTTCAACAAGCTCACAGTCGACAACTTTCAAATTCAATTCTTCCGTCGCGTTACCAACAAATTCTTCTTTCACTACCCCGGAAGTTTCTACTTTAATTGTGTTTTTATTTTTACAATCATCGCTATAATTTACATTCTGCAAATGATTTGAAGAATAATCCTCAATTTTCTTAACTAATGATAAATCCACATGGAGCTTCATTTGTTTACATTCAAAATCAATTTGAATGTGGTCAAGTTCGTTTTCACGATATTCGTCATATTTTTGAGGTATTTGATTCTGCAATAAAATTGAATTTAAGTGAAAATTTTCATTACATAAGTAAATCATTACAAAAGTATCGAACATTTTCAGTATCGGAAGACTTGCTGATTGTGTTATAATCAATATTTTCAGTCAGCAAGACATCAGCGGGTTCTTCTTTTACGCTGAAATCGATTCAAAAATATTAATCACTATGTTGAAATATTTTTAAAATGATCATACTTATAAAAAATATATTTACCGAACAACGAAATCAAATACACTACTGGATTCCATCTTACATGGGATTCCGTTAGCGACTGATCTACACGTGCGATATATAATTTGACACAGCAATTTCTCTTTTTTAAATGTAAATAATAATGTTTACAAACCACGACATGAACATTTGAACCCGATGTAAACGAAGCAACATCAAGTTATTATCATTATGTCCTATTGGCGAAATTACATAATCGATCTGCCTCGTGAACAACAATCATTTATCTATAAATAATGTTTCATCGCGAAGAAAATTAAAACTTTTAAAAACACTAAGAAGAAAATATTGATCATTTCCATCAAATTTTATTCGTCTTTCCCGCCGTTCACCATTTTGGTCAAAACCTGTGAGCGCCGCTGTCTGTCTACATTTTCTTCTATTTTTCTGCCTCTCTGATTTTCACGTGTGGAGAGACAGAATTCATCGTCAGCAGTGTATGCCACTATATAGCCTATCGGTGTATGCAAGTTAGTTTCAGACTGAATATCTTCCGCTTCGAACGTGTAATCAAAACATGCGAGTTGCGTTTTTTAATCCGCTCCACGAATCTCCGAAAAATTGACAATACTGTTCAGTAACTATTTCGAGTAGCGTTTTATTTTTCAACAACCCAAGATGTCTTATCAACTTTATCGCAACACGACATTAGGGAATACTTTACAAGAGAGTTTGGACGAGCTGATTCAGGTACACAGTTATTCAGACAAAATCATTCAAGAATAATTATGAATCGAACATTATTCACATAAATCATTGATCTTTATTTTGCAGTATGGTCAAATCACTCCAGGATTGGCAGTAAAAGTTTTATTGCAATTTGACAAATCCATTAACCAAGCTTTAGCTACTAGAATCAAGTCTAGACTTACTTTTAGGGTATGTACTGTTTTTTTTTTATATAACTGTATAAGTGGCCAATTATAAGTTTTAAAACATTCTCATGAAACGACTGAATAATTATTTGCTATTTTGTTTATTATAAAAATTATTTTAACACCTAAATGTCAAAAAAAACATTACCATTCATTGAGGTTATGGTGAAATTTGATCAGATTCTCATAGCACCATGAATCATGTTATTTATTTTGATTATTTTTATGTTAATTATCTTTTTATTTTAATATTCCAGGCAGGGAAATTAAACACTTACAGATTTTGTGATAACGTGTGGACTTTCATGTTAAATGATGTTGAGTTCAGGGAAGTGCAAGAAGTAGCGATTGTTGATAAAGTAAAGATAGTAGCATGTGATGGTAAAAGTATGTATCAAATTTTTCTTCATTCACTAATTGGAATACAATCTTATTAATAAAATTTTTTTTTATTTTGCAGTTGCAGATCCAGAACTTGCACCAAAGCGATAGACTATGTTTCTATTAAAATCATAAAATAAATATATCATAATATTTGGATTCATAAGTATACCTTAGGTTAAGGTTTTAAGTATAATGTATTTTATTTGAAATTTGAATTAAATATGAATAAAAACTTAAAATGTATTGAGCTATAAAAATTTATAATTTGTTACAACTTATCGTTTTTTTTTGTCATACATATCTAGAACAGTAGAATTAAGATTATTACTAAATGCTTGAAAACTGAATTTTTCTTGAAAATGTTGTTTGCCTGCTTCTCCTAATTTAGTTCTCAAATCTTTGTCTTTAATTAGAGTTGCTAATTTTTCTGCAAATTGAGATTTTTCACATAAGTATCCAGTTACATTATCTATGACTGATTCTTTGGGGCCCCCTGAATTATGTGCCACAACAGGTTTAGAAGCGTACATTGCTTCCAAAGGAACTATTCCAAAATGTTCATTGGGAGGAGTGTAAATTAGAACATGAGCATTCATTAAGATTGAAACCTTTTCAATATCTGTAGGAGAACGCAGAAAGCTTACATTATCTGCTACACCTAACTCATCCGCTAAGCTAATTAATTCCATATAATACTCCACATTTTCCTCTACTCTTTTGTCGTAACCACCAGCCATAATTAAAAAGGTTCGTCTGTATTCTTCTGGGGTGAGGTATTGTTTTAAATCTGCCAAAGCTTGAATAGCTGTGGTAAGCTCTTTTTTACGTTCATATCTATTGATGGATAATAAGAAACAAATACCAGGCAACATTCTTTTGTCCAAAACTCTTTCAATAGTCAATACATGCACTTGATCAAAAAATGCTGTATTAATTGATGGGTATAATACTTCAGTGCGCTCAATATTCAATCTTTTGAAAGTTGATTCACAGACTGATTTGGTGTAAAGACTATTGACTAAAATTTTATCTGCAGCCCCAGTAGTGATTTCTTCAAGATAATTCAGCGGAGCACGATACAGTCTTTTTAATTTACTTTCATAAGTCGTTAAAAGTTGATCTGGATGATGACAGTAAAATATAACAGCAGGAATACGTAACTTTAAAAGAGGAATGCACACTGAAACTAAATCACAGAACACAATGTCAGGACGATCCGATTGAAGAATAATATACAGCGCTGCCCACATCTGAAGAAAAAATGTTGAAAACAAAGTTGAAAAAATTTCTGGCATTCATTCAAAATCATAATTATTCGACAGATGATTCACCATTCTCATGTAGGCGCAGAAGGCAAAGAATTTGCCGAAAATGTGTCTGGGCAGCCAGTCGCCGACGACTGTCACTTTGAAGGTGCCGTCGCGCGTCTCGGTGAAGCAGTGCGTCGGATCGTGATGCGTCGTGACGAAGTCGACCACGTGGCCGTTCTGCTTCAGGGCGATGGCCGCGTCGACGACGAGCCGTTCGGCACCGCCGATACCCAAGTCGGGGTGCAAAAAAGTCACTCGCACCATACTCGATTATTATACTTTGTAAACAATATAATTCAACTCCCACACACGCGGATCGCGATGCCGGTAGTTTATTTATCGATGAAGCACTGACTTTATCGTCTGCTTTATTTCATCATAAATATCAAGATGATTTTTTTTTTGTAACAAAGTTATGACAGAGCGTGAAAAAAATTCAAGATAACAAAACACCGTGACGAGTGTAGCAGCCCGCATCTGCACTACTGCCGCAGTGACAGACGACGCAGCGAGAACTCCGAAGCGTTGCGATTGGTCGAATTTCAACTTACACGTTGTTCGATTCAGATCGCCTCGACATGTCGCGGTGTTATCAAAATATCTCTCTCAGTCCCACCTTACATATTATATATATGAATAGACGTTCCGTGACGCAGTTTACATATGTTTTTGACGTCGTCTTAATTTTATGAATTAATGGATCAATAAAATTATGAATAAATTATGAATAAATTCAGAAGTACTGTTGACATTACATTTTTTGAAGACTTGAAGTAAACGTAATTTTGAATATTATCAAAAAAAAGTAAAGTTGGACGTAAATTTAATTAATTAAAACATATACTTGTAGAAATTGCGTTGGAAAAAAGCTCTACAGTAATATTCTACAAAGTTTCCACGATCAATTGGAGCTTATAGCGATATCGCGATCGGCTTACGCGTGGCGAACCGCAAACGGTACTTACCGATCTTTTTCACTGTCATCTAAGCTTCCTACTTCGAAGTTCGAGTTTATCGTGAGATTGTAATTGAATTGAACTAGTAATCAAACTTAATATAAAAAAGCTGCAAATCGCGAATCGCAATTTTCGCCTTTAAAACAAAAATAGCACGAGTTCTGGCGAGGTAATCTTTTGTACTCGAAGTAAAAAAAAAGGTGCTTGCATACAGATAGTAACGGAAATGATAAAATCGAATCGAGATTATGAAGAGAGAGTTGCGTAGGCGACCGACGAAAGTTCACGCTCTGTTATTCTCGATTTGAATGGATTCTATAGATAATGTCGAACACAATCAAAATTAGGACGGGATAAAGATCGAAATTTCATAATTTATCTATGACGATTTTTGGTGTACCACAACGCCGATTCGAAATAAGAGCAAGCGCCAAATAGTTAAGGTTTCTCCATTGAAGATTATCATTATACTGAAATGGATTTGGCCAAGTTGGAAAATTCTAGAACACGATTTTGGGAATCGGACCAGAAAGAAAGCAAGAAACAGAAAAACACGTTATCTCGTCGTTGACGAGAGAAATGTCACACACACGCCGCGCGTTACGTAGTAACTCTTATCGCGACTGTATTAGATTAAAAAAGGAGCGCTTGGCTATCTCTACCTGGTCACACGTACCGTATAAAAAATAAAACAATACGATGACCGGACACGATAAAGCTGTTAAGTATATCATTATAATTATTATTAATACGCATAGACATGGACGCGCGCGCGTTTCATCGAGCGCGAGGAATCGAAAGTGGATTGCGTAAAAAAAAAACAATAATAATTCAAGCCCGGTGAACGCGGGGGAACTTTTTTTTTCTCGCTCTATACCGCGCGCGCGACAATACATTAATACGTAAAGTAATATATGAAAAATGCGAGAGATAAAAAGCAAGGCGCCGCTGCTTCGCGTCAGTCGCGAGCGAGCATAGACACGGCGCGGATCGCTGCACTTCGGGGCACTGCACACGCCACATAGCTCACTAATTGGCTGCGCTGCATACATACATATATATAGGAAGGACCTGTATGCAAAACTGCAGTGCACATAGACGCGCAACAGCTTGGCGTGACTGCGCTGCAGCTCGGAGAAGAAGAAAGTCGCCAAGTTTGACTCGAGAGAGCTGAGAATCGCGCGCGTGCCTCTAGCCCCAAGGTGGCGATTGCAGTGCTAGCTTCACCAACGCGAGCTCACGAGTCAGCAGCGTGCGAATACTTACATGTATATAATAAGTCGTCTCGCCCATACACAGATATATATACGCTTGTGCTTAGTGCGAGACGGATCGCGTATATCGGCGGTCTCTTAGCCTGTGCGCGCGAGCTTCTGCGGACTCTGTGTTAAAAGTGACGGATGATCGACGAATTGACACACACGCACGCGAGAGATCACAGTTGTTGTGCGGGGCACATAAAATTGGCACAATAACAGGGCACAAATAAACGCACGCATCATATAAGGCAGCCAGTGCGCGACGAGCAGAAGAGAATTTCCTGCGTTATTATCCTGCGCCTCGGCCTATACACACATCGGAGCCAAGCGATTCGATCGCTTTAATACTTGCTGATTATTGTCCAGTTATATCGTTAACGCACCTACACGCAGGATGTGCTGCTCGCATCACCGTCGCCGTCGATACAATACCTTTTAGTACCTATATGTAACCGCGTAGTGTCTGTGATCTAATATAATATAATATACGAGCGACTCGACCCAGAGAGATATAAGTAGTAGCTGTGTGTATTATATTAGGATAGATAGCCGAAGAATCAGCTGCAGAGTGCCAATTATATATACGCTTGCATATAGTATCGAGTGCGCGGCGCGTGCTGTGTGTTGCAAAACTCTCCCCGAGTTCTCCTCTCTCTCTCATATATGTGCGGCTCTGATCTCGGCAGTCGTCGTCCGCGTCGCGAGAACAACAACAACGAGGAGAAGGAGGAGGAGGATCATCATTGTCGTCGTCGTTGCCCGACAATAATCGGATGGATGGAGCTTTATGGAACAACGGCGACGGGGCGGCCTGCGGCAGCAGCGAGATGGAGGAGCGTCGCTCGATCCGCGACTCCGCCAGGCAGCCCAACAAGAAGTATTACGGCAGCACGGCGAGGCACGTGACGAGGTCCGACTGCCTGGTCAAGCACCCCGTGGCCCCCAACGACACGCTCCAAGGCATCGCTCTCAAGTACGGTGTCACGGTACGATCGTATAAAACGTTTTATAGCTCTGTTTTTTCTTTCTCGACGTTCAATTACGATCACAAGACTTTTTTCAATTTTTCACGCTATGGTTTATCAATCTGCTCGAGTTTAGTTCAGTCATACTTTTCATAAGTATATCAATTTGGTGCAGTAAAGAATTTGCCGTGTGTCAAAGTTTAATTTTCCATGATGTATAATCAATTTTATATTTACTCTTTCAATGCCTGCCAATCTAATATAAATTCTAAACTTCAATAAAAGTTTAAGTTACTCCTCTTATCAATTCAATGAAACTCGATGATCGCTGTATAAGACACAAACATGAATCTTTATGTAATATATTCTATGAGGCAATCATTGTGAGTTTGCAAGTTTATGCATAATCAGTGGTGATTATTTTGAACACTGCGACTTATCAATCTTTAATTTGACATAATTTCTCATTGCTATCTTGACCATTTTTAAAAAATGTAAAAGTTTTGTGAACATGAAAATATCTTAAAATATTTATACAAACATTTTTTCGATACAAATAATCAGGTTTTTTTGTAGACAGAACAAATTCGACGAGTGAATAGGCTTTGGGCCTCCGACAGTTTATTTTTAAGAGAACATCTTCTCATTCCCATAAACAACGATAATCCTCTATCTTCATCTAGTGGATTCATGTATAACTCAGGAAGTTTTGATAGCACTAATGTAAGAGCCGATTAATTATTTTCAATACATTTTAAGAATAACTAACTATTGTGAAATCATTTTCTTTTTAGGTCTCTAGTCCATCTTCAGTATCTTCTCCAGTAGATTATGAAAGTTCTTCTGTAAATGATTATTTAGCTAAATTTGACTCTTCGATAGCAAGTGTTAAAAAAGAGATTAAAAAAGTACAAGGAAATAGTGAGTAAGTACTGTTTTAATTCATCTTTTTAAATCACTAAAATTTCTTTACAAATTATGTGAAGAATCAATAAAATACTTTAATACTGAATTCTAATAATTTTTTTTTCAATTTTCACAACAGGTTTCTATGTGATGGAGATGGTTCGTTTGTGCAACGAAAAAAAGCCACAGCTAGATTAAGAAATTCTCATCCAATCAATTCAAACACACACCTAGCATCACTAGAAAATCAACAGTCTTCATCAACTAGTGATTTACAAAATTTACCATCGGCTGTTGTTATGACTCAAGGAAAACGCATTAAAACATCACTACAAAGGTTACAAAAAGAACAAGATGAAATGTTTCAATTGTAGCATTCAAAATTGCTTTTTCAATTTTGTTAAAGAGATTCCAATGAAAATCGTGATAATTTAAATTTAAATTCATTTAATTCAAGTATTTTTTCGTGACATATAAGGTGGAAAAATCATAATTAAAATCAAAGCTTAAAACGGTATTTTAATTACATAAGAAAAGTTTTCAATTTTTTTAATTTTATTGATTTGTTATTGAAAAATGATTATAAATTTTATATTACGAAATGTGAATGTGAAAGATTTAAAATTTTCTTTTAAGTATGTGCAATAATTAAATTTTATAAAAATTATTAAACAGTTATACTTACGAAGTTAACCAGTTTCAATATATAAGTGGTACTTAAATACTAATGAAAATGCGAACAAATTACTGAACATTGTAATATAAACATAAATAATGAAAATACTTCTAAATTTTATTTAACTGATATTCACTTTTCTGTGTTAAAAAGATTTTTCTATTAATTTTTTTTGGAAATTAATCTTCTACAGACCTTGTATTATCTCGTCTCGAGTGTTAAATTATTGCAAAAATTTGTCTAATCATTTATAATTTATTTTATCAATGATTTCTTACGATGAATGAAAAAACTATAAAAACCTTTTATTTTCTTCGAGAACTTTATTGTTTTTCAAACTATTTGAAGTCATACTGCGACCGTAAGATGATTTATGAAAACTGAAGTAATCGTGATTTGCGCGTGCCTTCAACTATGTCCGGTTACGCTATGATTTATCACGTTCTACCCTATAAACTTTGTATATCTATCATGACTGTATTATAAAAAGACATATTACTTCGATACAATGAAAATAGTAAAGACTAAATGAGTGTATGAGTGTTGTTGAAATTAATAAAGTAGTGCAAATGGTAGAAAAAGCGTACATCGTTTCAAATAATTATCATAAATGAATAATAGAATGTTGAGACGAGCCACGATACTTGTGCATAGCTTGTCAGTTGTTAGCAATATTTCAAAACTCTATAGAAAAAATGATATTATAGTTATATTGACGAGAATAGCAAGGTAACTGAATGTAAGAATTTGTTATGACTAAAATGTGGGTCACAAATATTTTCAAAGAAAGTACCTTTATTATTAAGGTCGCTTACTATTTTTAGCTAATGCACAATTTACAATATGTTGAATGTATTTTGTAATGGTGATAATAACATTAAAAAAGAGTTGAATTTTTCTGCTAACTTTGTGAAAGATGTTATAATAAAAGAATAAATGATATTAGCTTTCAATTTGTTGTTAGTCATAGTTTTATTTTATTTTTAGATTTGAAATTTGATTTGAAATTGAGTAAAGCAAATTTGATAGTATCATATCGATCCAAAATAAATCATTTTATTGGACCATCACAATTTCGCTATTAATGAAAACGAACAATGTATACTATGTAAAGTCTACTCTAAAATTCTATGTATGTGACTAAGTGATTCGTAAATGGATTGTGTAAAAATAATGATTGTAGTTAAAGCGTGAAATCTTAATAATACTTTTTTACTGTATCTATGCTTGTAAAAAGTTATAAATATCTTGTAAAACAGTTACAATTTTATCCATTGAAGTTATTTTTATTTTCAAAATTATTCACAAGATCATAATGCGGTGATATGAATACATTCTGAAATTTAACAATGGCTACATTTAACAAATTTTTCTTACATTAAAATTTAGGCTAATGTGCTATATTATCGGTAAATATACACTCTGGTTTAATGTTATTTCGTGGACAAAAGACAAGTACAAATAAGGTAAAATAATAAATCTATACAATCAACTCAAAATAAATTTTAAGTTTCTAGAAATTTTTATCTAAGCTAGACATAATAAAAGTAGCTAAATTAAACGCGCACCAGAACAGAGATCATCTGGGTTATCCTAAACAAGCGTATTTATCACGCCTTGGAAACACAGACCATCTGAATACAAATTGCATCATAAATGTATTTTTTTCTCTCAAGCTGAGACTTTCAAGTTGTAATCTTAATTGTTGAAACAACATAATACGATTGCGATCGCAAATAAAGATCTTATAAAGATTTGAAAAGTAAACTATTGATACTTTTAAAATATTAAAACATAAAACGAAATAAAATATTTTTTTCAATTGAATACTTAGTCCGTTTGGATCATTTCAACACTTCAAACTTATTAAATTGCTTAGATGACATTAGCCCTCGTACATGGAATAATACACTTACATAGTATATATATAAATATGTTTATATGTAATATACTTAGTGGGCTATTAAATTTTTTTCAAGTTTTGAATTATTCAAAACGTCACTGTGATTGCTGCGAGTTTGCTACTCTTTTTTTACTTAATTTTTTAACTTTTTTTTCTGTCATACAGATTTTCTTCAACATTCACATACACAAATTTGTACATGTTATTTTAATATATTTTATATATATAAATTTCATCTTTATATATATACTTTCAATTAAAAAGTTCTATTTTTAATTGTTAAAGCACAATGCAACTTTAGCATTAAAAACCATACAATTATTTTAAGAAATCAAGATAAATCAATGCATAATTCATCATATTTTCGTTTAATATCTAAACAAAATTTCTTAATATTCAGAAGGCTTTAATAATTCAAATTCTTATCCACTTTAATTTTGAGTTTCATAATTTACTTATATTTATATTCGTTATTTACTCGGTTCAAATTTTGTCCCAAGCAATTTTTCATATTTACATACAGACAACCACAATCATCCAATATTTTTATATTTATATAGAAGTGGAAAAATCACGATTGCCATGTGCTAGTCGAATGAATTTCATTCTTTGTAGTCAATTAATAATCCGAAGTAGGATAAACGTTGACACTTTCATTGACGCATCACTACCGCAGCGCTCAACTTCATGCTTAATAATGCAACTTATTAAATCTTGAACTAGGACGAGGCTCCATTGTCTCTACACACGAGGACGTGACGTTTCTTGCACAAAAGTGATCGGAATAATCCCTCGCCGTCTAGTATTGTATTATGCCGGGTATGGACGGCCACTCAATGTTGCAGCATTTGTCATCGAAAGGAATTTCGACTACTGTTGGTAATGGCGGGTTAGATAGCGTATTTGTGGTCACCTCCGGTATAGTTGTTGTTACAGCTGTAGTGTTATTGTCTGCCGCTATAGATTCAGTATGAATAGATGAGCTCCAAGTAGAATAGTAGAGGTTTTAAAAAAACTGTGAAATGAATACTTTTACAAAGTACGAGAGTTGAATTACTGACATTACTGGACAAGACAATGTTTGATCTACAGCAACATTAACAACAAATTAACCTCGTGCTTTCGCTCTGCGCGAGTTAGAAGTACTAGCAGAGGCCTCTGCAGCATTAGACGTTGATTTTACTGCCGTCGGTTTTTTTGTCTCTGCAGATTTTTTTGTTTCATTCTTTTTTGTCGAGGTGCTACTGGAACTAGCCATTCCAGACGTGCTGGGACCAACAGGTCCTTTGCTCCGATTAAGGGCACGTTCCGCTCTGGTTGGACCCTTAGCTACCTTCGTTGCTTGCGACATAGCTGAACGATTCAGGGCTCGTTTTTTACCCGATTTACGTTTTGAATCGGCCGACTTAATGGCATCTTCGTCATCATCGTCATCAGATGAACTATCATCGTTCGCATTTTCAGTTTCTCCATCATCGGAATCGTCTTCTTCCTCTTCATCTGAGTCAGATTCCTGGCTCTTTTTACGAGGTCGTTTTGCGCTAGGCTTAGCCTTATTTTTGTTTTTTGCAGCAGCATCGGCCTTACGTTTTTTCTGTAACTGAGCCTCGTCTGTATACAAAGATAAATCAACTGCAACAAAAATTCATTATTAAGTTGATGCCATTAAATTATCAATTTCTATAGATTGATAATTGAATAATATAATACTCACGGCCATCTGGATGTTCTTCGGTTACGGGAGGTTTCTCCGTAACTCCTGCTTCAACGTCTATAGCTCTCTTCAATATATTCTCAGTTCTCAGCAACTCGTACTTCGTTAATTGATATCTGTTCTTTTCCACTTTATTCAAATTTAGGTTTGTCAAGATAGTATCAAAATCTAAAAAAGAAATCAACATTTATAATTCATTCTATTTCATTCAAATTTAATTTGCAACTACGGAAATTGATATTATAACATACCAATATAATCGTAAAAATCTGGCGTATATATTTCTCCGTTATCTTTATCTTGAGATAACCATCTAACGTTAATCTTTTTGCTTGATTTATAGACATTTTGATTAGCCTGACAAACGAAAAAGCTTCCATCGGCGTTCCTCACGGCGAGAAATTCACCTCTAAAATAAAAATATTCAATTAGGTATATGATAAGAAATAACTAGAATAATTCATTGTATTCATTTCCTACTAACTTGTAAAATATGGTCAACTTTTCATCCTGGGCTTTAGCAACAGCTGCTGATCTTCTACTCGTTGACGCAGCAGGAGTTTTGGGGGTTTTATTGTATGTCGCGGACGGTGCCTGATACGGAGTCGTTTGAGTTCGAGCACGTCTCGAGCGTGAGCTAGCTGCGGAACCTTCAGTTGGAGTACTGGGAGTTTTCAATTTGGGCTCGCGTGGTTTTCGCTTGGCCGGAGTTCGAACAGGTGTTTTTGTAGGTGTTCCTTCTGTTTTTACTTCAGAGTTTTCGGCTTTTACATTTTTCTGAGGAGTTTTGGGAGTAGTAGGTTCAGATTTTGCAGCTGTATCTTGTTCAGTTTTTGCAACCGCTGCAGCTGGAGCTTCTTTAGCCACAATCTCTGCTTTGGGTTCAGTTGTTTCTGTTTTTTGATTGTTAGTAACAGCAGGTTTATTTTCCTCTGTTGTAGGTGCTGAAACTGTTAAAAAATTATACATTTCAGATTATTTTTCAAGTTTTATTGATCCAAGTCTAATTTTAATGATTGTAATGCATACCTTGATTATCAACGACCTTCGGGGGCACATTTTCTTCTGGTTTAGGTTTTACAGGACTTGTTTGCTGATTTGAAATTGGTGTTGGTTCGCTATTGGCAGTTACATGTTTATTCTGCTCACTAGCTGTAGCAGCTACTTTGACAGGTGATGTAGTTACAGTCGGTGCTGCTTTTGCTGGACTTGTAGTTGCATTTGTAGCGGGTACAACAACGTCTGTGACAGGTGCACTTTTGTTGGTTGTAGTTGTGTTTACTTGTGTTGTACTGGCAACAGTAGTCGCTGGTGTCACTGTGGTTGGTGCTGCCTCTGGTTTCTCCTTAGCAGGTTCAGTACCATTTTGAGTAAGCTTATTATTATCAGTTACTTGGGTCACTGTATCAGTTTCTTTTGATACCGCTTGCTGTTGATTAACTTGATTGACTTGAGTTGGTTGATTGGGAGTCTGCACCTCGGAATTCATTTGGTCAGTCGAAGTATTATTTGTGAATGGCGGTTGATACAATGGCCTGTGCTCTTGAATCAGACTCAGCGGTTGGTTGTTTGGTGAAAAATTTTGATTGGTCAGTGGTTTTATACTGCCTGCCGATTGATCAGCTGACGGTGTTATTTTTTGAGACACCATGTTCATGGGCAACATGCTGTGACTCGTTTGAGTTGTGGGGGTCCCTACTCCAGGCATTGAAGATTTGATTGCAGGTGCACTCATATCCCAATACAAAAGAAAGTGGCTAATTGAAAAGCCAATAAATTGCAATCATATGATGCAAATCATCCACGTGATCGAATCACAATGATTGAATCAAGTCATCAGCTAACTGGATGAATTTTATCTGCAACAAAACAAGAAAACAACAATAATTTTCAAGTTTATTCGTTTAAATATTTGAATCTGGTCGTTGTTTTGAATAAAGGATCAAGTCACTCGTTTCATTAATTTTGCAAATTACAGAGAAAATCGATATTCATCCGCATCTCTCAAGCGCCCGTAAAAGATTCGGAAATCCTACTAATTATTGTAGCCTGGCATGAATCAAACGCGTCAAGATATACAAACAGGTGTTGACAATTCGATGAAAATACGAATGAAAGTGCATATACAACAACAACAACTACAGCAGCAGCAGCAGCTTACGTGTAAACTGCGTATTAAATTATCGATAAAAATGAGCGCGCGGGACGGGGAGTAGCCGGCATGGCACGAGTAGTTCCTACAGATATACCCTCTCTCGCGTTATAATACGCACGGCATTATTTAAAAATCCGCACCTCCGGGCTTGCTATAAGCTTACCTCGAAATACTTGGATTTGACAGCGGGCAGATAGCAAGTGCCACGGTATAATGCACAATACTTTAATGTGCGCGATACACAATGAGGGAAGGAAAAGACTGGATTTACAAGTCAACTGATCTGCTGCTGCTGCTGCTGCTGCTGCTGTGGTGTATGTATACACGGCGCAGGATATATACAGAGAGCGCGAGGTTCACGGGGGAGAGGCTCGCTGGTTGGCTCGTGCCTTGTACATGCACCGTTCGCTCTCTCTCTCTCTCTTTCTGTTGCCTCTGTTGTTAAGTCGCCTCGGTTAGGTGTGTATGTATAGTTATATTTTACGAAGAGTAGCACTGTACAGCGCGACACACACACACACACGAATCAGTAATCACAACAATTCACCGTCGAAAAAAAATGTCCACTTTTACGAGCAGAAAACGCCGAAAGATGCGACTCGGTAACGTCGATGCGCGTACCGCGTATTATTACAAGGGGCTAAGGTTTTTGGATTTTACGCACACAGAGATCCGAATTCGCGTGAACGTGTACGTGTGTATGTACGTAGGAGTGCATCGGCGGCACACACGGACTCGATCGGAGCTGTGGATGATACACTGCTCTCTCGCGGCGTCTCTCTTTCTAAAAGCCGCTCGCGCGCGCACCCGCCGCCTTTACTGTCTGTGTGACTCTGTCTGTGTGTGTGTTATAATGTATATACGCGCACATACAATCGCATAGAAAATATACTCACGCAGAAATACTATGCTCGCGTATATACGTACACAATGTGAATTTCGACTTTGGCACAAGGCACGTAATATATATAGTACCACCCAATAGTTGTCGTCTTTGCAAAAGCTGCACACACGCAGAGGCTGAGCGCCTCTCGTTGGCACCGCAAACTACCACAACGTCAACACACTGGCGCAGTCCCGAATGCATCGGCTGCCGTGCGCGTGCGAGTGTGTGTGTGTACACATACATACATACATGCATTACATACACACGTACTGGGGGCTGACTGGCTGCGTGTATATGGTGTGTGTATACATACAAGTGTGGGTAGCGTCAACTCCGACTTGGAGAATACGCGATACATTTATAATCTCGGTGTATACTGCGCGCGGTGGTGTGGAGGTAATGCCGCTCTCGCTCGAGACTTTTATCACGCATACACTCGCACACACACACTCGCGTGTGTATAGTCAGATAGATCCAAGGGAGGGGAAGAGAGCGAGAAGCCAAACTTTCTGTCCTCTGCGCATAAATCCATTCAAATACGTATTATAATATTACACCTATATCGCGATTGTCAACATGTCAATGATGAGTCGTCTATATACGTAATCTACGATGTACAGAAACACGGAGCAACTCTGCCTTTTCCCGGTAGACGAGGAGGCGTGCGCGCGCGAGCCTTTAGCCGGGGATCGCTCGTGCTAATTATTGTACGTCGGATCGAAGCGATGCAAATTATAATACACTACTACTACTACTATGTAAGAGGTGGCGCAGGGGCTTACGCAGACCGAGTGTGTCATTGTTGAACGATAACGTTATGGAATAAGAAAGAAAAAATAGCGAGAGACGTGTTGACGCACTGTTTTATTTATGATAATATAATACGAACGCGGTGACGAGCTTCTCCCTGACACTGACGTACGCGTAGTACACGATGCATTCAGGCGCGAGTTCGAGTGAAAACGATGCAGGCATATAAGCGAAGAATACGCGAGTGCGAGAGGGAATTGGATTCATCGAGCGAGTCGATATAATAATGTTGATATTTCCATGTAATTGGCGAGAATATTTGCACTTTGCCAGTAACGAAATTCGTATACGAGGCAAAGGAGAGACGAACGAGAGTGGAGAGGAGAGTCAACGCCGAAGACATATCAGCGGTGGCGGTGGCGGCGAACGAGCGCGCTTGCGACGGCGTCGGTGGCAACTATATATCAATGTATCGCGCTCCCATACGAGTACGTGTATGTGTGTATGTGTGCGTACGCAAGAAGTATATAGCGGCTCCGTATTATATACAGTGTGTGTGCGCGTTATATATATGTGTAGATATACGTGTATGTACGTATGCGTTGCGAGGCGCACATTATCGTATCGTTTTCTTGAGCGGGGCCTCGAAAAGACAACTACAGGGGCATTCCACTGTGTGCGCGGGTTGTGCGCGGCGCGCGCGCCCGACCGAGCGCTATATATGTATGTAATGGGCATCGGAGAAAGAGCGAGAGAGAGAGAGAACGAGTGCTGCTGCTGCTTTGCACGGACATTCGAGAAAAAGAGAGGAGCAATGAGACAGCAGCAGCATTGAGGCAAGCGAGCCGAGCGAGCAAAGCGTGCGCGTTCGTTAGCTCTTTCTCTCTCTCTCTTGTCTCTTCTTTTCTCGATTTTCGTTCGCGCGCGCAACGCCGCGAGCACAGCGAGATAGAGAGAAACAGTATATATACACCGTTCGACGTACGATATATAAAGAGAAAGGGAAAGAGAGAGAGAGAGAGACTGAAAAGTCTCCCGTGTGTGCCCATGGGCCGATATACATGTATACAGATATATTCCACCGGCAAAGAATGTTTACACTCGTTTTGTCCCGCGCAAATTATCGACGCACTCGCACACGGTGTTTATTTATTTATTTTTATTTCGCGAAGGAAACGCAATCCGAGTATAGCAGCATTGATAAAAGGGCCATTTTTCAACGAACACGCGCGAGAGAGCATTACTTTGATTGGCTTGCAAAAATTGCAATTGGCCTCTGTTTTATATATATAACACCGACGTCGCTGACACATGATATATATATAGATAAGCGCACGCCAAAATACGTACACAAGCGTACGCCGGCCGTACACATCTGTGTGTGTGTGTGTGTATCAATTTATAAACGCACTCGAGACAGAGGCAGGTCAGGGGGGAAAACACTTGCCGCGATGCACACACACGTTCGGTACGAGTCATTTTTCGCGTATTAAAATTCTCTCGCTACTTTACCAGTTGACGAAGATGCGAGCACACACTGCGAGAGCTCGGAGAATATCAGTTCTAGAAGAGTCGATGAGCGCACAGAGACAGACAGCACGCGCCTGCCTCCTCCTCTCTTGAGCTCGCAACGACTTTTCCTCGCGTGTCCTTCTCTCTGCACGTCAAAACACACACACGGTGTATACACGACGATGATGATGATGCACTCGTCGCTGCCGATTTTCGAAGCACGACGGGCAGGAAAAGTGGAAATGTCACAACAACAAAACACTCGTCGGATCGGTAGAATTCGGCACAAAAGACGAAGAAACGCGAGGCATATAACGCGTTATAGTGTATAATACGGTGAAGCTATATCGCGACTAAGACGACGCACGAAGCACACAGCACAGAAATTGATCGAAGCACTGCTCGCTCGGAGTGAACGAACGAACGAACGAGCGCGAAACGACGAATTATTCTCTCGAGGTGTTTATACGCCGATGGCCACAACACGTATAAAACAGGCAGCGCGAGAGAGATAGAGAGAGAGAGCGCGAGCGGTGCCTGTTCCGCGGCAATGCGCGTAAGCTATATAGGTGTATAGAGACACAATATAATACTTGGTTACTCTCTGCGTTACATTTCTCTGTCTGTCTGTGTGTGCGTGAGTGAGTATAATCCTCAAAATGCTTGAAGAATTTTCCACCGCGGTCGCTAGTGTACAGCCCTGCTTGCTGCCTAAGCCTTCGTAACTGCAGCAATACAAGCACGCGCGTTCGAGGTGCTTTTGTCAGCAGCAGCTTTTTGTCAATGATGAGAGCGTCGTCTTGCACGCGGAGTCGGTGATTCGAGGAAAAACAAAATTGACACGCGTTACTACAATACTTTCTCTCTGAGAGAGGATGTTAATCTTCATTAACTCGATGATGAAACGAGCTATTGTTATTAGGCGGTCGCCGACCAAAAGAACGCGGCGGCGGCGGCGATGACTCCTAACGCGCACGCGTACCACCTTCGATATCCATCCGCCGCAAAGCAAAGCCCCAACACAACAAGCGCATTCGATTCTATTTAGGGTTATGACCAAACGCGAGGAGATGCTCAACACTGAGACATAATGAGACAAAACAAAGCCGTGTTGACAATCGTACTCAACCGCAACGGAGTCGTAAACATTTCGAGCTGCGTCGAGGAGGCAAACAACAAAAAATCTGACGGGCCACGAACTCGGCCGCGAGAACTAGATGGCGTCGGTTTTCGCTCCGTCTCTTTCTCGCAGCCGTTGTGTTATGGGACGCGGGGCATGCGGCAATGTTGCCATTCGACTCGCGGGGCACGCTATGTTACGTGCTATGTATATACACATAATATCACGCACTTCTTGCACTGATACGAACGCATTTCACACACACGCGAAAAGTCTAATCTCGCGCACACACACACACATACACACCATCGCGTATCTTATCGGTTCGAGCGAGCAGCTTCAAGTTCACACGCATGGTTCGCGTCGGGATGTACACCGTGATGCAAGAGAGATATATAAACACGGGGACTTACCTCGTATTATTGGAGCCGATGCGGGGACGTGCCGGGACGATGGCGATTGGCGATGTCTTTATCCGACGATGTACGACGACACGAGATCTAACACAAAGATCGCTTCCAATTACCTCGGGAGCGTTCAAAAAAACATATGCAAAGCGCTAAAAATGCAGCAGCAGCGTCAATGCAACGAGAGAACGTTCGTATCACGCGAGCCGCTAGGCATCGAATAAAAAGCGACCAGAGCAGCAGCAGCAGCGGTGTCTCTATATACTGCTCTATCGGTTGCACGCACGCACTATATATCCTCCGCGCGGCGCGATGATAATACACAAATGCCTGTGTAGGCGGCAGACTCGGCGCGGCGGTGCGTCCGTGAATCCACCACACGTCTGTTCCCCCATGCGTGTATCTGTGCTGCAACTGTGTGACCCGACGACGGTTATCTTTTATCTCTTTCTCTTGGCTGAGCGTCCCCCGAATCTCGATCCCGATTGCTACGCGAGTACACCTACATTATAACGAAGAAATTATTCGAACTGCTTGCGGCCTTGCAGTTCGGTAACACGCAGTATGATCAACCGTTGATTAACTGTCCTTACGTCGACTAGTCACCGGCGCCATGTTTTCAGTTGTATGCAACTGCGATACCGCCGTCGCGAGCGGCAAATTCGAATGCATTTTCAGGTGCGATTATTGGAGGGAGGATAGACATTTTTTCATTTACATACAGCTCGAGCGATTTATAAAAATATAAGATCAATGATTTATGGGCGTCGATCTGTGAAAGTATTTACAACTTATTACATTATTATACACGACGAATACTTTTTCGTATTTACAGAGCGGCGCGTTGAGAGTAAAACAAAGCCATCGCTGGATCCTCGCTCTCGCTCGTTATGAGAACGTCCCTGAATTTATCCAATATCTGCAGCAATTGCGAGCGACGTATATTTTCCAGATACATGATCTCCTCCAGGTGATGACCTCCCTTGAAGTATCCCAGTCTGCAGAGCCGCTCCAGCAAAATTATGTCGTCCGACGGATACGCGTCCGATTGATACGAATAAATGTCGTCGCGTTTCTCCTGCGGCATATCGGTGTTCGATTCGGTCGGGGTGCCTTTCAGAGTGCTGTTCAAGCTCCAGGTACTCTCGTCCAAACCCGCTCCGGATTCATCGTCCGGTAATCCGTCGGTAGGGCTTGCACCGTCTATAGCGTCGCCCGTATTCTATAAAAAAAAACGTAATAATAATAATTTTCATAAGTGAATTAGTCAATTTTGATACACGACAACAAAGTAATACGTACAACAGGAGAGCTACCATGAACGGAAGGCATGTATTGCACGTAAGTGTGCAATTGTAGCAGCAAGTGATTTTTCAACAACCAAATAATCATTTTAACAAGTTGCGTTTGCTGTTGTGGTTGAATGAGAGGATTGAGTTTTTGGCTTATGGACGTTGGTAGTGAAAAATCACTAATTACCTAAAAATTAAAATTTTCAATCATTGCCATTTAACTTGATAAGCTTATTATAACAAAAATATTTATTGTATCTCACTTGTAACAAACACATTCCTGGAAATTGTTCAGAAAAAGCTTCCAACATTCGATCCGTAAGTACAGCATCGGGTGAAACTACATAAATATTACTTTCACACAGTGGATATATAACAGTAGCCTTGGCCCAATAAACTAAATGACCAGTAAGTTGAAATACTTGTGCTAGAGTTAAGTCAGAATCTAATGCTAAAGTTTGCAAACTTTTTAAAGGATTGTACATTTGAATTAGTCTACATAAGGCTGGTGAATGGTCTGTTGGCAACGAGTCCATTAGATCCATCGGTTCAGTCAATAAAAGTAGACCATGATATGGCCTTAGACTATCTAAACACTGGTTGATAATCTCTGGGTCTACAATAAATCCTTTTTTATGAGTTTGATGTACTTTCTGAGGAAGGCAAAAACTAACTTGTATCCATTTGTTAATCATAATATTTATAATTCCACTGGTACTTAAACTGTTAAAAATACATTTTAAATCTCTAGCTAATGAACTTTTTTGTAAAATAGTTTCATATGGTGATTCATCTGAGTCACTTTCTTCCTCTGACCTAAACAGAAATTGTAAACATTAAAAGTTTAAAACCTATCGTCACACAAAAAAGTTAAGATTTTAGATACAAGGTTTACCTTGCAGCAACTTCATCGTGCGTAGAAACCATTACTTTAATTTCTTCTGTTAAAAAGCTACATCTTTTTTCTTCATGCCTCAGTGCTATTCCTAATCTGCAATTTAAATTTGAATAATAATTTAAGAATTTGTTTGAACGAAAATAAATGTTCTTAATTACCTTTTACTCAAATCATAATAACATCTAACAACAGATTGACTAGCTTGTGCTGGTAAAGCAAAAACAACATTAAATAACATAGATGAGTTTATTTCTTTGGGACCCCTTGATGGGAGCAAAGTTGGATGTCCCACAAATCTTACATCATTAACTTTTAACTCAAATTTTAGTTCACATAATTCTGGTTTGACGGCAAATAAAGTTGACAAAACTTCATCTGACAAGCCTGTCAAATTGTCATTGGTTGAATTTGGAAATGGTATTGACTATTCATGAAATAAAAGAAAAGTTTTGTTTTACAATTTTATGACACAAAAAATTTGATTATTTTAATATATAAAAATTCAAACTTGTAATGAGTCTTCAGCAATTATCATAGAATAAGGATTTTTTTTTTTTAAACATTGACTTGAGTCTCGTTGATGATTTGTTGAATGAGGATAACGGAATAGCATTCTATCACCCTTACTATCGCTCTTCACCAAGATTATGCTCAAGGGAGTTATTTCCATTGTACCAATGACTTTATGATTGAGGCTACATAACTTTCTCAACTAATGGATGTTGTATACAACGTCAGCTGTTGCACTTTGTTGATATGTAGGCTATCAATAGCTTAATAAGAACTAGCAGACGTCGAGGTTATTAAATCCGGAAACTGGTAACTACTTTACCAGCAGCCACAATGTTCGAATTTTAAAGTGTAATGAATTAATTGTAATAAAAAATGATCATAAAAAAAATTGAAACGCACATTTGATTAGTATATATAAAATAATGGAGTTAATTTATTCAAAATTATTTCAATTTCCTAAGACACAGTTTACAAAATATAGAAATAAACTAATATTATGAAAAGCGAGTAAGACATTTTCAAAATTGTTAATTATAATAAAATGATTAATTACAGGTATTGGAACCAATTCCAAAACAAATTTAATACTGATACCACTAGTCGAACAATAAATAATTATGACCAAATTTGTCTAAATAAGTTTAAATACAAAATAAATTGAATTATCTAGAATTTTCATATCCTGGAAACATTGTTAGTAGAGCTGAAGAAAGTTCTTTGTTTTCTGTCATTTTGTAATCTTTATCCAGGGGATCACGACACATTGGACAATTATAGCTACCAGCTTTGAAACTTCTTTTCAAACAAGAAATGCAAATGTTATGAGTGCAGGAAAGAGTAACTGGTTTATATACAAGCTCTTGACATACTGGGCAAGCAAATTCCAACTTAACTTTGTCATTAAAAGCTTGACTTCCTTCTGTTATTAATTCCATACATCGTTCCCATATTTTTTTGTTGGATTGGTCTTCTTCAATTAAATCACGAATTTTTTTATCCAATTGGAAGTCAGCTTTGGGTTTTTTAGCGCTGGATACCTCATTTGTATCAGCATCATTTTTAGTTTTACGTTTTAAACCACGCTTTTCATTTTCCTTTTCATTTTTCTGTTCATTATCATTTTCTTTTTTGTTTTCCTGTTCATTTTTTTCTTCTTGAGCTGCCTCAAAATTGTCAGGATATACCATTTTTAAACCAAGTCTTTCTATTTCAGCTTTTCCTGCTTTGGTCCATGGTGCAGGAGACTTATCATCTCTTTTTAAAGAATAACGCCACACTATGAATCCACTTTTTCCTTTTTCAGGCCAATATTTAACGACTTTGTAAATCCCATCATATCGATAACCAAGTTCTGGAGCATATTTGCTATGCTTGGCTTTCCAACTTCTAACAACTCTGATGGGAATGCCTTTTCTCCAGTTTGTAGCTACAGCACCATTCTTTGTATCAAGCTTAGCATTACAGTTCAATGCCAATGCTTTGTTCATTAAGGTCAATACTTGATCGCGACTTTGTTTTGCAGTTCTTTTATTACCAGATAAATCTCTACCACCTGAGCCAGTATAGAGGAATGTATCTCCATTATCCTCATCACCTTCATATCCACCAGAAAAAACGAGTGAATAGGCACATACATTTGAGTTACCACTTATTCCAGCAATATGAGGTCTGTGAACTCCAGCTTCAGATACTTGTAGTCTATACAACCACGTCTGACCAACTTCAACTCCAGGAATTGGTCCTTTATGATCCTTTCCCACAATAGTACATTGTTTGGTTCTAGCAACACAAGCCATTCCTTTACCCCAGTCTCTGTTAGTTCCAACTACTTTGCTTTGCTTTTTCTTAGTTTTTACTTTTTCACCAATTTTAACTATTTCATCAGCGTCAACCTTACAATCTGGACAATACCAATCCCCTTGCGGTATTTCAGCTAAAGGTGGATTTAAACAGGAGATGTGATAAACAGTATCACATTCATCACAAAGTATCTGATGATGAGGGTCGGTCTTTTTACCACACACTGTGCAGCTGCATTCTCTGCAGTTTCTCTTTGGATTATCATTGCAGTGTTTACATTCAGCTGGAATAATTCGTCTTGTTGTTGGCACTCTGGAATTAAATGTTTCATCCCTCTCAGAAATAAGTACTGGCTCTTCAATTTGATATACACCATGTTTTATATTTATTTCACAATCATCTATAGTCCTTTCAGTATCTCCAATATGTATGGTACCTTTCAGTTCTTTGGCTGTCCTTACATTCCTTATTTTAGAAATAGTGAGATCGTACCAATGGCCAATTTCTTTGGGGCTTTCCAAATTGTAATTTACCATTACTTTTTGACCTATTTCCAAGTCATTAAAATCCAAAGTTCTCCAAGCTCTTGGTCTTATAGATGTTTCTTCTACATCGAATGCATCGTCATTTCTGGATTCTGGTAGATCCCACCTAACTTTGAAGACTGTGCTATCTCCTTTCTTTACAATTTTCAAAATGACTGCCTCATACCATGCTCCAACGGTCGTGTCGGTACAATCAATGGCATCACCTGCCTGGTAATGATCGCTGGTAGTCTCGATCTCTTCTTCCTCTTTTATCTTTACTTTTTCCTCTTTTATATTTACTTCCTCCTTTATTTCTATTTTCTCATCAGCTACGCGCGCATTGTCATCTATATTTTCCTTATCTTCCGGTTCCGATTTTATGCGTATTTTTTCTAGTTCGACGGGCTTGATCCTCACCTACACAATGAAAAACAAGAGTAATGCGTCAAAGCTCGCTGTCAAGATCCTCGTAGAAAAATAAATAAAGTCGACCAAAACACTTTACCTGAATGACGTGATTAAGATTGATACTGTAATCGTGAAGATTGCAATCGTCCTCGAGATGTTTGCCCTGGAAGTAGAGCGACAGCCTGTCTAACGGAGCGTTGAACTTGGTTGAGACCATCTCCTTCATTTGGGCGATCGTCGTTAATTTCGACACATTGAAGATACCATTGTGTCGGTTGTCGAAGGTCACACATTTCACGTACATTTTGACGCGCGCGAGTCAAGAAAATTATTATATATATGTTAGATTACACTTTGACAAAAAACACAAAAAGAACAACAAGCAGTGCAGTCGCAGTTGTCAGTCAGCCGGGAGCGGAGCACCGACGAGTGAGCGTGTGTGAGCGAACGAGCGACAGAAATGACGGCCGAGGACGGCGGTTTGCGAGAGGCCAACGGCAGATTATTGGCGGGAAAAGAGTCGCGCGTGTTTGTGCTGGGAGACTCTGCTGTCGGTGTGCGTGCTGTTTTTGCACGGCTCGCTCGCAGAAATCCCGCGTATCGTGCCGGGCTGTCGCGCGGGGCAGCTGTGTGTACTGTGTGTGTGCGTGCGTGCGTGTGTGTGTGTGCGAGGCCTCAGTGCGAGAAAGTATAACGCGAGGCGCTCGTCGAGTCGTAACTTGTGTAATATTATTATTTGCCGGGCGCGCGAATACTCCAGCACGTATCATGTTAATGGCCCACGGCCCGGGCTTCGCAGAATCGGAGCTGTATTATATATAGTTTTTCGTAATCGTTTAGCTTTGATTCGTGAAAGTTAATTTTTTGAATCTTGGTAGCTCTGGCGACAATGAAACAGCTTCGTAGTACATACATGTTGTAATTCGCTTCGTAAACAGCCGTCGCTCTCGCCGAGTATATATCGGGCAATTCTTGTTTCATTGTTGCTCAATTATAAACGGTTATGAACCAACCTTGATCGACTCCTTTTTTTTAGACCTTTTTTACTAGATGAATTTGAGACACGCAAATATTGGACAGACCTTGTAGCAACGGTACCTATAGTTATAGGTTTCCCTCATTGAATTATCGAATGCTCGATTTAACTTTCATACTCAGTTTTTGATGAATATTTCAAGCTATCATAATATATATTTTCTTTAAAATATAATTGCTCTTGACAGAAAAATGTGTCACTATCATTTTCATTCGATATTTCAGTTACTTTTTAGGTGAAAAGAAATGAAAGAAATTAATTTTGGTAATGAAAAATAACAAGAAGCTCGAATAGGGTACCCTGTATTTATCTCTCATCAGTATACGGGTCGTTGTTCGAGACTCAAAGGTTTTCGATGAAATCATTTTATTATCACCGTTGGTGATCGCATTCGTTGTAGGTTTCCGAATGAACTTATGAATCGACAAAAATTCAGTCGACGAGCTTCCAGTTCTCTCAAAAAATTCGCATTACAACGAGTTAATTCGCTACGAGATTCGTTCAACGAAGTCTTGTCGTGAAAATCGAATAAATGATTCTTTACTAATGCGCAACACTGTGATTTCATTATAAGGGATTATACATTTACAGTCGCGAGCCAAGTAAGCATTAAATTATTATTAATTTTTGTCGTCGCGATATTTATACGCGCTTTTCAAGCGAACGATCGCACGCATTAAAGTGGAAAATTAACGCTCGTTCGCGGTGTGTGTGTGTGTGCATTAAGGCAGAATCGTTAGCTTGTAAATTTATATAATCCGCGCGTCATTATCGTGTCTCTTTACGTCGGCCTTTATCGAGTGGCGCCGATATGTATACGCATCGGATTAATAAACAATGAAATGCGCGGCAGTCGCAAGCTCGATCGGTTTTGGGTCTATTTAATGGCTGCAGAGAGAGATATAAGCTTATATTATTATCCGTGAGACGCAGCTACTGGATGCGGAGAAACGCGACTAAACACGAGAGGATCTCGCTGTGGACTTTTTTCTCTCTCACTCTGCGAAAGCTTAGATCGTGGTTTAGATTGTAGATTATCTTACATCCGGTCTCTCACAAACCAGCTGCAGTGCAGGAGAGAGAGACAGCGAGAGAGAGAGAGAGAGAGAGAGAGAGCATGACCGCGAGGCTTTTCTCAGCCCCGTATACTGCTGCAGTAAGCGCGCATAGGTAGGTATATATATAATACCTTACATGCATGCCCAGGCTCACATACATTTGTAGCGTACAGAGAGTCTATATACTGTTGCAGCTTGGCAGCGGCGGCGAGCTATTTCTTTCTCTCTGTACTTTGAACCCATCTCTCGCGCGCGAGCCAAGAGAAGAAGAAGAAGAAGAAGAAGAGAGCCAAGGGGAGGGAGGAGAGATTTTCCCTGTGTCTCAAGGGTACGATATGAGTGCCTACCTATATATGCGCCGCCGCCGCTGCTGCTGCTATGCGAAATACCCACTTAATCAGAACATCATGAGGAAAGAAAAGAGAGAGAGAGAGAGAGATAGAAGAGCTTGTAATATCGCCGATGAAAGTCTATTTTAGCCTACAGCAGGCCGCTGCGCTATACAAGCTGAGGGAGCGAGCGAGTATGTGTAGCACCTCGGGCACCACGAATTACATAAGTGCCAGTGTGCCGATCCGTACCTACATATATGCATGTAATGCACTGAGAGTAGCTATCCTCTCTCTCTCTCTCTCAGCGGCAAGTTCGATAGAGGATTCGAACGATAGAAAAATATTATCGCTGGCTATCTGTGTATGCAGCATACAGACACACACACACACACACGTGCGCCGCAACCCCCCATCTGCTGCACCGCCGCCGAGCTCGGACGAAATTGTGGGATACCTCCAAGAAGAAGAAGAAGAAGCGCGCTGAAATTCGCCCCGAGGCTCCCCGGCCGTCTTCTGCTCTCTAGCCATATCGTTCGAGAATTAAAAATTAGACGTTATAGCTACCCCGAGAGTCTGCCGCGATCGTGTGCTCATTATGCGTGCGAGTTCGCGGACACGTTTTTCAGAGGCGGCTACCGATCATCGATCCTCTCGTCGTCGCTTCGAATATATAAAGCTCGCGGACTACTGCTGATATAGCTCGGTACTACACGTGATATATTAATTCTCTAACGGCGCTTCCTTCCCTTTTCTTTCTCTTCCTATGAGAAAATTTACACCTTCGCTTCGCGGTCCCTTATATAAATTATATATATTTCTCATAAAAGTTCTCGTTGCGCTCCTATATTCTCTTCCCTCGTTTCTCTCTCGCTCGATACCGTTTCGTGTCCCGTACACGTACCGTACCATAAACGTAACATAAATGTCTCGTAGCCGAATGTTAACACGTGTCTCGACGTTTTATTTTCCCCCCTTGACTCGATAATGTACTATATATTAATGCACGAACTGGACGCAACTGCGCGAGCGGCATGAGCGTCAGCTATATGTAAGGAAATTAAACGATCGATAAAATAATTTAACTATTCGCGCGTTTCTTCTTCGTTTTTATTTTTTTATCGTTTTTTTTGCATTTAAACGTGGCTAGATATTGCACGGAATTATACGAATGACCCATTAACGAATTCATTTACTCGGCGTTTCTTTCGAGAGACAATGATATCGATTCGTTCACCTTTATTTCTTCGATTTTCGACAATCCATCGATTGAAAATTACACGAGATAGAGGATCGTAAGCGATTGTACGTTTCAACTTTGGTTCAGTAGCAATATCATTTACAGCGATTTCGCGATGGAACGTTATTTTCTTACATTAAACTCGCGAGTTAAAATAACTCATCGTACGAATAAATATTTTTTCCTTTCCAGCAATGCCTTTCCTCGGCCGCCGCCGCTGCAATGTCAAACGATAAGGTAATTTTACGATATTTCAAGCAGATAAGTCGCGCAAAAAAATGCATTTATGGGAGTAAGGGTAATAAAATGAAAAAAAAAAAGAAAAGAAAAAAGAAAAAAGAAAAGCAGAAGGAAGGCAATAAAGTAAAGGTAGATAAATTGGGTGCAAATGCATCGCGCGCGTTGCAACTAACGAACGATCGCACATGGACGCGGACGAACGTGTGCGCAGCAGTGTTTGCATGTGTCTACGCTCTTCTCTGCTGTCTATGTCGTTCCAAAGCTCCAGTTTAGCCGATAAGCAACTCGACGCACTTTGTCTCTCTCTCGCTTTTTCGCGCCCGGCTCTCTGCTCTTCGAGATTACAGACACAGCACACGTTAAAAGAGTCGCTGCGGTGTAGTACTGTATTGTATATACAGAACAGGGTAGGGAGATGCCTGCGGGACTGGCGAGAATTGGCGCGCTCTTGACTGCTCGCGCACACACACACACACACACATGTATATGGGTAAACGCGCGTAAACACCGCGTGCCGCGCGGATAAGCGCGCGAAAAGAGAAGTAGGAGCCGAATGCGATAATCGCGCGCGCACAGAGAGAGAGAGACTCGTCGGTACGGTTGCCCCGAAGTAAGGAGATGCCCGCCGATGGCCGTCGCAGCAGCATCAGCAGCACACGTGAAAACTATTTCTTAGAGTGAGAGAGAACGAGACAGACGTGAATTACCTCACGGATAAAGCTTTGCATCCTTATAAACACTACCTTTGTATACACGCGTATATGGGATAGAGCGGCCGCGGCGCGAAGCACCAATTCGACCGTGTTTCGCTGCCTTTTCCAAAGGCTTTAAACTCGACGATTTAACTGCGCGCTCGTTTTTCTAGTTAGCCGCTGCCTTTTTTTTCTCTCTCTCTCTCTCTCTCTCTCTCTCTCTGGTACACTCTTAATCGTTCCGTAGGGCCGATATATATACGTGTGGTACGGCTCGAAAAGATAGCCAAGCCATTGCGCGGGGAGAGATAATTAGGAGAAAATCGGCCCTGCGCTCGCGAATTGGGCCCCGCGTTCGATCGGTTAAAACAAAAAGTCTAAAAAAAAATGTGCATAGCTCGCGTACAATAATGTGAAAAGCGCACATCGGCTTTGCATACCAATAGCATATACTTATAGGTGATATGAACAAGAGCGAGAAGTAAACATTTTTCTCGTACATTCGCGGGAAACAAAAGGAGCAAAAGATAAAAAGTCATAGATAAACACTGACAGATAAAAGGGTAGAGAGAAAGAGAGAGAGTGAGAAAGACAAAGGCCAATCCACAGGTATGCGCGCATCGATGCATAATAACCAATAGCAGCAGCAGCAGCAGCAGCAGTGCAGCTCGCGAAGGAGTAAAAAAAAAAGAAAAGAAAAGGAAAAACGAAGAAGCGAATGGAAAAAAAAATTTCGCGCGCGAAAGAGAAAAAGTGAATATAACAAAACAAAAGCTCTCGTGGCGCAGAAGGACCGCGCAAAACACACAGACACACGTACACACGTATATAAATATGCGATGTAAGTTTTCGCGCGCATGTTTATACGTATTATACGTACGAACGCACATTATAGGATTATACGGTAATATGTGCATACGTAAACACATATATGTATAATACGGAGCTGTGTTAAAGCCACGATGTGCAAAGTCTCTCTCTCTCTGTTTGGCGCGAATCGGCGGGGGTACATATCGAAATAATCGGTGAGAAATACTCGCGAGCGAGCGAGCTAAAGTTTTCAAGTACAAACATGTATACATATAGTGGTCGAGGCATAAACGGGGTTAAAACCCATATATCTATTAGTGGAGAGCATCAGCGCCGAGGCCTGACAAGGCCTCTGAACCGCGCGCTGCGCTGGACGCGCTTGGTGAACGCCGCCGCCGCCGCCGCCGCCGCCGATCGAACGGACCGATTTTGTTTTGCGCGGCTCGCGCGCGCGCGTATCGACACACACATATATATATAGGCTCGATGCTTGTAGCAGTATATATACGAGAGAAAGAGAGGACGAGAAGAAGTAAAAAAAAAAAAACGAAAGAAAAAAAAAAGAGCTTCGATCGCCAACGAACCCGAAGGAAAAGTCTCGCTCTTTTGCGCGCCGTATATATATAAGAGGTATATAGCGAAGAAGAGCGAGAGAAGGAGTAGGAGGAGGAGGACGACGATAGATAACGAACGAAATTGCTATTTAGCAAGAGAAAGACACGGGGCTCTTGCCCTCCAACGTGTATATACACTTCAAAGGGTTTTTTGCTACGACGACGACGACGACGACGACGTTTCACGGATGTAGCCCGAAAGAATGTGCCCATTGTCACCCTCGCGCTTGTACATATAAGCTGGCGTTTTGTCGCTTCGATCGTGTATGAAAAGTGGGCCTGCTGCCGATCGCCGCATTGAAATATTTCAATAATCCTATATAGGCATATCGGTATCGATTTCATCGGTTATATAGTTTCTCAACAAAAGAAGATGGGATTAAAAAAAATATCAATGAGACATCGTCTTTGGGGGGGTAAAAGAATATTTGAGAATTTTCAATTTCATCCCGCAAGTCTTCCGTATATATTCGCTGTATAAAAGGACGAAAAAATCGATCGTACACACACACACACACGTAGCGTAAGCAAGTAGAGAAGTGGAGGATGTTTTGGTACGCGGTATGCTGCATATATTTTCTCTCTCTCTATATATAAATGCCTATACCTATGGATTCCGAGCGCGCAAAACGTATGCAGCGCACGGCGGGTGTAATACGTGCTGTTGTGTATATACCATATATACGCGGTATAGCCGTTGGCTGTTGCAGCAGCAGCAGTTCTGGCATATACAGCATCCAAAGAGAGAGAGCATGAGAGAGTGCAGAGTTCAGAGAGTACAAGAGAGCACACAGGAGAGAGAGAGAGATCGCGAGAGAGCTGCTTGGTGGCCGGGGTAGAGGCGATCGCGAGCGCGCGACTCTGTGCCGCCGCCGCCGCCGCCACCGACGCGAGAGAGAGAGAGAGAGAGAGAGAGAGAGAGAGAAGAGAGAAGGATATACCTATATATACATAAGAGGCCCATCGAGCCCGACTCTATATATACTTGTGTATATAACATGCTTACTCCACTGTGTGTGTTTGTACACAAGCTGCATATAGTAGGATGTATGTATACACAGACAGATATAGGTAGGGAGGACTGCAGCAGCAACGAACTCTCTGTGGAGGTGGATGCGTGTGTATAAAGGTATATATAAGCCTAGGCACCAAGCAAGAGAGAGAGAGAGAGAGAGAGAGAGAGAGAGAGAGAGAGAGAGAGAAGCAGCCACGTGTTTTGCGCTGCAGTGGTAGCCAGCGCGTTATGACCCGGATGTTAGAGACTCGAGAAAGAGAGAGAAAGAGAAGAAGGAGAGAGAGAGAAGCAAGCACAAGCAAGCAAGCGAGCAAGCACACTGGCGAACGAAGCCCGGTCCCGCGAGAAGCCGCGCGACGACGAAGCTAGCTTATAAGCGAGCCGATCGGCGAGCGAGCGAGCTAGAACCGAGTAGCCGAGCTTCGTCAACCAGTGCCCGAGATCGAGTTAAAAATTAGTGTGTGCGTGTGCGTGTGTGTACAAAAAGTGTCAGTTGTCAGTGTGTGTGTGCCAGAGAGTGTCCAAGAGCCTAGTGTCGGTGCAGTTACTACGAGCAGCAGCCAGCCGGATATAGCTCGATCGTAGGGTAGTAGTGGTACCATGCGGTACTCGGACTGCGACGAGATCGAGCCGTTGCCGATCGGGTCGTTGCCGAGGCCAGCACCACCAGCGAGAAAGAATCGTCTCCTCGGAGATGAGCAGGAGGATTGTCGTCGTCGTCGTGCACCGAGTCCCCGATAGCAGCAGCAGCAGCAGCAGTTGATCGAGACCCGCGGAGCTATAATCGGTTGGCTCGAGCTTGAGTCTCTGCGGCGGCGGCGGCGGCGGCGACCAGCCCCCCTCGGAGAGCCAAGCCGAGAGCTCGACGCCGAGAGCTGGGCCGGCGAAATATGTTCAATCGGTAAGTCGATCGATCGGATCCGACGACGACGACTTTATACCATTGTCATCGTGCGTAACGCAGCTCCAATCATAATGAAAAAGAAAAAAAATAAAAATCAGTGCCAAGCAAAATCGGACGAGTTTCCGAATTCGATCGAGCGCTCCTGTGTTTATGCGGTAACTCGGTGCGTAAGCTCGCCTGCGTGAGGCTTTACACGCGTGTATATAATACGCATCGAGCGAAAGCTCCACGCGCATTATGGCTACCGATCGTTATGACCGTTCGTTCGTTAGCCGCTCGTTTTATTCGCGAAAGTTTAGTCGTTGATCGTCGAAGAAATTGGTTTGATACTGGATAATGTAAGATTTACACACACACAGTTTTATGAGATCCAACATTTATGAGAAATGCAATTGAGTAAAAGATGAAAATTTAAACTTTGATTCTCGTGGCAATTTTATATTAAAAAATCGGATAAAGAAATCGATAAATTTATATTTGACAAAATGTTAAATCGAATCATTTGGTGACTATAAAATTCAATCACGTTGCACTCGAAGAAAAAGTTGACACGTCGATCGCTCGTAGTATATAACAACAATAATAACACGGGTGGCACGCGCGGACGCGCTCCATTACGACACGTGTGCAAGTACAAGTGTGCGTGTTATTTACGCGCTTAGGATAAGGAAAAGAATCGACGACCGCCGTTTGCGAATCGTGACAAAACTCGCGAGATGACGGAATTTCGTGACTTTCGCGCGCTGGCAACGACGACACGACGACGACGACTGCACAGGTGTCGGCTGCGAGCTGCGAGCGATGGCAATGGCATGGTAAGGCACCAAAAGGGTATAATAATATAAGCTCGCGGAGCGCGAAAATCACGGCACGCACGACTTACCTCGACGACCAAAAATAAAAATAAAAAAACAGTGTCTCTCTCGGTAGTGCATGATTTATACGAATTATACACGAGGTGTATATACAGTCCTTGTAGTCCCCTTTAATTCTCCATTATTACGATCGAGAGCGGACGCCTCTAATCTGTTTCTGTGTGCATTGTTGTGTCTGTATATATACGCAAAAATAAAGGATCGACGCGAGCAAGTCGACGAAAGGTGCGAGCAAATTGAGGAGGGACCTGATCAACGCCGAGATCGCCAACCTGCGAGACCTTCTGCCACTGCCGCCGTCCACGCGACAGAGACTGTCGCAACTCCAGCTCATGGCGCTCGTCTGCGTGTTTCTGAGGAAGGCCAATTACTTCCAACACGGTGAGTTTTTCTGTGACGATCATCGTCTCTTTGTATATCATTTTCTTTTTTTCTACGCGCTAAAATAATGTGCCGCGGGGCGACTTTTTCTTCTCTCTCATAGCATTTGCCCAACGTTATACTTAACTTGAATAATTGACGCGACGAAATTTTCTCGAGCGTGTTGACTCTGAAGTAATGCGAAGAAATGAGAGTTACATTTAGCTCCTGTAATGAATCTTATCAACTCGGAGTATTCGTAAACATTCGAGACACCGATTGGTTATGTTCAAAGTTTGTTTACGGAGCGCAGCTTTTTCATAAGCAGGTAATAATCTCGCGCCGCGCGGAGCTTTAAAGCCAACATCGAGCGAGCTTTTCAGCGCGGCTCTCTCCTATATAAAGTAGTGTACATCGTTTGCGGTCACAAAAATATATATAATCATTATATTACAATGCGATCCGAGATCGTTGAAAATAATACGAATTTCTGTTTAACCGCAACGCAGTAATCAGGATTATTTATGCGACGAGGGAATAATAACGACAATAATCGAATATCTTATCGAATCGCCAAGCTGTGCACATTCCACAGCGCGAATGCATCTCGGGATCTCTCGTATGGTATAGTTGCTAAAGCTCGACTCGATGTATATATATATAGTACAGACCGCCTCGGCGCCCGAGGCGAAATTATCGAGATAATGCATCGGCCGTCTATCGTGCGAACTAAAGCACGGAAGGACCTTATAGTCGAATATTGAGCTAATAATAGACTTCGTATAACAGGGATATAAAATTACGCTACTTTTCTCGAAAACTTCCTACCTTTTTACGACCTTCTTTTCTTCCTTCCGATCGATGTCATTTTTTAGTTTGTTTTCCGAACTTTTCAAAGAGCTTTTCAGCACTGGAATAGTAGTAATTATTATCAGAGCTGATAAAAAAATATTCGTTTCTGTTTATTGTAAAATAGTGTTTTTTTTATAAAGATTGTTTTAAAATTAATTTAAATTTACGATTGATTACGATCAAATGTGCACGAAAGTTCATTTAAAATACTGAAGTATTGAAAGCATTTTTCATAACTAGACCATAATAAGATTTCCATTAGAGCCTTAATTTTACTATTCATATGCTATACTATTCACATCTCATTTTAATGTTCATCGAATCTAAATAATGAGGACAATAAAATTGCAACTTTCGTCTTGATTTGAGGATTAGAGTAAAAGACATTTGTATTTTAATATAATTTCAAATGCAGTAACCTATCGATTTACTACTGTATCCGCTTTAATATCTAAAAATTTAATATCAAGAATATTGAAATCTGTATCACAAACGTTATCGGCAAAGTACATTATAAAATTATAAAAAAAATTTTTTCAATTATCTCTCTCGCCGAATTATCAATATTCATTAATAAAGCGAGTTTCATGGCTCTTATTTCATGCTGAAACTTTGCTATATCTCTTTCGGTTTCTTAAAATTCGAACATTAGCCATCTAGAGGTAGTTTGCGAAATACTACGTGTATAAAAAAAAGTCTACATGCGTGCAATTTTCAACACATGAAAGTTCTCCATACATTAAAGTTTTGTAATTGTCAGGCCTGATGCGATACTTTTAATGTCAGTATTGTAATTAAATTTTGTAAAATATCAGCTGCGTTCAAGCTTTTTCTAACCAACTTATATATTACACAAGTAAATGTACAGTTTATTTATAGTAATTTGAATATTAGTACCATTTCATAGAATTTAACCTTCGTGTTTTCTTTTTGACAGAAAACATTGTTTTTTTTAAATGTTACTGTTGTCATTTTAAAGTAAATATAACGTAAAAGGTCAATAGAGTATTCCTTATGAAAATATTCCGGTACAAACGTCGATTAAATATATGAATAATTTTTACGGCGTAAATATGAAAGTTGCCTCGCAAATAATGGTTTTGAAGCCCTTAAAGGAAAAGGGAAAATCGATCCCTTTGATTAATTTTTAATTAAATTTTTTTCATTTGGAAAAAAATCTAAAACAACAGGGTCTGTAATTAAAGAACATATAGTTTTAACTAATGAATTCAATCGAGACGAAAATTTACGCAACAAATCAACGGCACGGTTTTGGAAGAAAAAGACGAGTATAAAAATGTAAATAAGCCATACGTAAATTGTAAACAAAGAGAAGAAAAGAGTCGAGATCTCACTATCAACGTACACAAATGCTGCGTTGTTGATTTACCTCGACGTCGCGGCTCAATCAAGAAAGTTAAATTCGTGACGTACGTCCCGCGAGCGGTACAGTCCTTATACAGCACGGATAGGCCGAGGCGCTTTTTTAATTGTAATCCATCGCACGTATACATAAGGTATACACCGCGAGAGCCAGCCGCGAAACGTTTAATTATTTTTAAAACGCATACAAACCTTATAGCAACGATTCTCGACACTTTTGGTATATAACATGAAACACGATATTAAATATCCTTTAAAGAAGGAAGATATTCTTCGGGGATCGCGTCGGTAATTTCTCAGCGCGAGTTGGGATAGAAGTTTTAATATACAAAAAAGATGCGCGGCGGCGGCGCAGCGAGGGAAACTTTTCTCTTCTACCATAGTAGTGCTGATGCTGATGCTGCTGCTGCTGCGATGCAATTATCGGGCTTAATCACAGTGTTTATTTGGGGGGGAGAGAGAGAGAGAGAAATATATAAAGCCTAGGTGAGCTGCGCGCGCGCGATTACATGTAATTAACGAAAACCACATAGAAAATCTAAGGAACACCCATAATGTAACGATTGTATATATCTCGCGGTGGAGCGAGTAGCAACGGCAGCAGCAACATGTATATATAGGTACCATTTCTCTCTTTTTCTCTCTGGGCTTTAGCTCGGCGGAATGACCTCTCATCCTCTTTCTTGCGCGCTCGCGAGCGAGAGAGAGCTGGACGCTTTTCGCACGTTTCCCCCCCTCTATATACTTGTGTATATAGATATATCAGCGCGGGCTTTGTTGCCCTTACTAAGAGTATAGGCTCCTCTTCGGTGTAGTTATAAATGTAGTACCGTTCATATACGTGTGTGTGTGTGTGCGCGCTGAAGCCAGAGTCTGATTTCGATGATACGAGATAATGCGCTTGAGGAATAGTTATGGCTGTATAAAACGTTGCTTTAGTATATATAGGTACACACTCGCCCCATCTCAGCTCGCCGCGGTCTATATCTCTCGCTAATCACGACGATGTATTACGGGGGGGGAGGGGGACACGGTCGCGCGCGTATAGGCCAAAAAATGTTTTCAAATTTGATAAAAAAAAAAAAAAAAACAACAGATTGTCCCGGATTTTTCCCACGCCACGAACAATGCTAGATATTATGTGTATATCGGAGAGAGATCGAATGCAGACAGTTCATACGGCTGTTGAATTTTGGGAGCTTTAAAGCATCGGTACGTAAACGACGATGATGGAGCTTCGATATAGCTTCGGCGCCGAGTCTATGTATATAGATAATAATGTATAGTAGGGAGGCTAATATCAATTATGAATTCTAATCCGGTACAAAATAATTTTCGATACAATAGCTCGAGCTCGTGTGTGTGTAACAGAGGGAGGCCTGTAGGCTCTCTCTCTCTAATCAGCCGTTACATAAAGCGGCTTGTGCCACGGCGCGCGCGCGCGGCTCAAACGCGTATATAATACACAGAAGATAAAACGTGTCCGCGTACCCCCCGCGTATACGAGTCGTCGCGCAGCTCGCAAATGTGTGTGTACTGTATGGGTTTCGGGATAGAGGCTGTAGTACATACTGGGAGATCCTCGAAGAGAAGACGAAGAAGAAGAAGAAGAAGAAGAAGTAAAAAAAAGGGAAAAGGGAAAAATAAGGATCGTACATAGAGAGTATATAATATAGCGTAGCCGGCGCTTGCACATATATACACAGCGGCAGCCGAGAGTTTGTATTCCTTACTCTCGGTAGTGGTAGTAGTAGTAGTAGTAGTAGTTGTAGTAGTATATAGTGGTGCTGTGCTGTGGTGGTGGGCGCGCGCGAGTGGATACAGCTCTCGCGCCTGGCCGCAGCTCTCCGATCTGCCGCTGCCGCCGCTGCGAGGGAGTAGAGTATGGGTTACAGGAGCGTGAGAGTGTTGCTCGCCGCTGCCGCTGCATGTGTGTTATACGCTGCGCTGGCAAAGGCCGAGAGGTCAGCGGATCACCCGGAACTCGCGCGCGCGCCCGCGTGTGCTTAGGCTCACTACCCCCCACCCACCTCCTTATAGCCTCCTCCTGTGTGTGCAGCACTATATACGTTTATATGTAGTTTCTCCTCTTTCTCCCTTGGCTGTGGCTGCGTCTCGCTCCTTCTTCTCGCTCGTTCTCTCTCGTGTGTGTGTGTAACTACTACTACTACTACATCCAGCCCTCCTCTGTCTTGGTACATAGCAAGACACAGAGAGAGAGAGAGAGAGAGAGAGAAAAAAGTCCTTTTGCGCGAGTACTCGCTCGCTCTGTGTACTCTATATATATACTCTCTTTTATCTCAACTGAGAGACAGCGGCGGCTCATTTTTTGCGTTCGAGCTTTTTCTCTATATATACACTTGGTCGTCGTCATCGTCGTTGCGCCGGGGCCCTTATAAACAATGACCGCCTAAGTAATGGATGCGCCAGAGAGCAGCTCTTATACCTCTCTCTCTCTCTCTGATCGCCTTCCTGCCATATACCGCATACCTATATGTGTATAGATACCTACTGGGCCAAAGAGAAGAGAGAGAAAAAAGACTCGAGTATGAATATAAAAGCGAGTCGAATCAGAGCTGTACGTGGCACTGAAACAGAGAGAGAGAGAGAGAAACGATGTATGTAAATCGATAGTTCCTAGAAATCGGCATTTGTCGCGGGTTCCGCGAGAGAGAGAGAGACGGCAAAAAGAGAGGGAGAAACGTAGCGAAACTGACTGGATTCGACTTCGACTCCGTATATGTATATAGACCTTCGGTACAATTTAATGTTATCCGCAGCTTCGCGATATATGCATTATATTTATACGTGTGTGGGATTTCTCTGCTCGCGCTCTCTCTCTCTCTCTCTCTCTCTCTCTCTGTCCTTTGACCCTGCTACACTTTTCACATTATACATCGGTATACACCCGTGCATTTATATACTTTCGTTTCCCCGCGCGCCTATAACGTCACTTTGTTCAACGGTTGATCGGGCTTTTCTTTTCTATACGCAGAGCTGTTTTGAATAAATATGCGAGAGGAAGTTTTCGAAATTAAACGACCAGATCGGCTTAATTTCATCCGGCCGATTCGTCGCGCGACCGTCGATACGCAGGCTTACTTTTCCGTAAATTGAAAATTACATCTCTCCTTGTGCCGCAACGATGGTCGGTATACAGATTTATTTTCGGTTTTTGAATGGCTCGACTCTCTATCCCCTGCGGCGAGCGCATGAGAAAAATTCGGCAAATATATTTTAATGTGTATTATGTAGGAAATGGCCGCGAGCCCATGACCGCTATAACACGCATTACCTGTATAATTCAAAGTCGCTCGCGTATATACTTTGTACCGTGCACATGTGTATATAATGTATATACGAGCTAAGTACGTTGGCGCGTCCTCGTCCTCCGCGAGACGCGAGACTACGCGATCCGCCGCAGCGAATCGATAGCTTAATGAGTGCGCGGCCGCGCATCCAAAAGAGGCTCTCGAGTTTCGCGCGCGCGCTCGCAAGAGAGAGAGAGAAGCTTGCGGGTGGCTTTTCGATCCTCGGCTATCATCCGCGCCGAGCCACACACATGACTCGGTGTAATAGCACGAATTTGCCTCGTTGTATATATATATAGGTACTGTTTCCCCGTGTTCACATCCTTTGAAGGGCTTTTCATCCGATATGCTTCCCTTCCCTCTCGGCTCTCTTCGCGTAGTATATATATCGACGCGGAGAGAAAACGTACCGCCAATGTTCTCTTTTTACCTTATTTAATAATATCGATTGTACGGCGAGAGCGGCGATATTCATTAGTCCGCGCGCGGGTGTTTGATTTCACTTGATTGCGCAAATGTGGTGTATTATGTACTATATGGGCTCTCGCTTTGACCGGATCGCAGCTCGCGAACGCGCGAATATACGAATGAATTTTTGAAAATTTTTCAATTACTTTTCTTCTATATGCGTACACGTATACGACGTCACGAGCTTTTCTGTTCGCTCTCAAAAGTTTAGCGTAACGTCGTCTATGCGTCACCTTTAACGTTGCTATATTATAACTAAAAAAAAAAAAAGTATACGAGATTGTATTAAATTTTTCGTTCCAGCTCGTTTTTCGCCTTTGCGCGCGCGCGCGAAAAATTTAATATCAAGAATATCGAATCGCAAACGTTATCGTCAAAGTGCATTATAAAATTATAAAAAAAATTTTTTCAATTATTCGACATTCGTACGAAGCGAGTGTAATCATTTTTAAATTAATAATACTTTTGTATAAATTAATTAACCAAAACGAGCGAGATACGGATCGTTGATTATTTTTGTTTGTTTTGGTTTTATGTTTCAGTGCTGAAGAACGATCTTGAATCCGTGAGCATGCCAACGCCAAACATCGGTTTTTCAAAGGTAATAAAAATGAAAAAAAAAAATCATATTTATACGTATCGACGAAACGCGCCGCGGTTGCACCAGTTTTCTTCTTTTTTTTATTTTTACCTAGAAAATGTTGACGTTATAACGCTTATCGTATTTTACGAGCTCTCATTGCTATCGTAGGAGAAGTATATAGACACTTATAAAAACTCGAAAAACAAATAGACGCGTGTTCATTTGTATAAATTGAAAACGTTCGACCGATCAGCGAACGAATCATGTTTCTCAAATATTATTTGATCGGTACGTACATATGAGCAGCGCCGGGGACTTTTGTCCCAATTTATAACGAAGCCATTAGTCCAAGCGCGGGGGCATACGGATCTCGGTACGGAAGCTCGCGCCAATTGCGCGAAGAGCTTTTTTTGTTGTCGTTGTTGCGCAGCCCCGCGTATCTCTTATCATTTTTTAACGGCGTCCGTAAAATGTAATCGCAGGAAATTTCAACGACGCGCGTCGTCGTCGTCGTCACGCCTTTTTTTTTCTTTCTTCGCTATTTTGCTCGACTAGCCGGGGCTGTATATAATAATATGCCTCTTGTACTCTACGTATATGCCGCGCACTTTGAGAGCTGCTGCTCCGCGCGCATTTCATCGGCATAAACGCGGCGCTGATTGGTCGAAATGAAATTTTATAGCCGTCGACGTTTTCAGAGATATATATATAGACGCGAGCGCGTGGGTGTATACCAATAATAATGGCAACTTTTTTTTTTTTTTTATTACATATCGGGCATGCGATGTATACGACTTTGCCGGGGACGCAGCGGGTATACTGGCAGCAATATGTAGATGCACGAGTTATGGGTTACTAAGGTTTTTTTTGTATTATAATTTCCAGGCCATGTCCGGCTTTATTATGATGATGACTCAACAGGGCAAGCTGCTGTACATATCGGAAAATGCCGCCGAGTACCTGGGACACTCAATGGTAAGCTCGAAAACCTGATGTATTGTGTACGTATCGTAATGTAGCTCCAACTCGGCACTTCTCAGACTATACTTGTCAGGATCGAATTAAGCGAAAATCGTTCGGCTGACTAAAAATGATTGGAAAAAATATCACGGATAAGGATTGCAACAAATTAATGTTCTTAATAAATGATAAAATATCGAGCGTAATTAACGCGTGTTTTAACTTATACAATAATTTTGACTTTTTCTCTTGCAGATTTACAAATAAAGGTGCTTGCCATCTAGCGGTAACACTGGCACTAATTGTGATTGAATTTTTTCACAAAAATTTTTAAATTTGAGTACAGAATTAGATTTTTTGGTTTAGTTTTGGATTGAAAATAATGTTTATAATTACATTTCCATGCACTATTTATATGGCCAAAGTGGAAAAAAAATTTACTTCAATATAACTACAAATTTATGAATGTTTAACGAATACTTTAAGTAAATGAGTTTTTAAATTTATCAAATTTTTTGGTAAATGAAGGTAATATGCCGAGGCCATCGCAATCGAAACTTGAATTAAGCTCAAAAGTATTAAAAACCTAAATTCGTTTTGAAATTGAGCACTACAGCATATATCGAAAAATCATTGTCATTAAAATCGATTGAAAAAATTGAATTCACAATTTGAACAATTCTAAAAATAAGCTGTATAAGAACAGCTGTAAGATGTGTAACGTCTTTAAGTACACGTGAAAATTGAATTAAATGTTAAACAATAATAAAAAATAAAAAATTCGATAAAAACTGCTATGAGATTTGTGTAACTGAAGTCAAATTTGGTAGTAAATAATTCCAAAATTATAACCCGAATAAAACGAACAGGTATTTGACGTTACACTTCTGGTGTCCATGGGTATTAGCAAATAAAACCACCAGCAGTGTAACGGCAAATACCTTTTCGTTTTAGTTGGATTATAATTTTGGAATTGTTTACTACCAAATTTGACTTCAGTTATACACATCTCGCAGCGGTTTTTATCGAATTTTCGTATAGACGCACCGCGGAAAGTCGAGTATAGTAGCTGTCGCGAGGATTATTGCGATCGTGAAACGAGCGGGAAATTGTCGCGCGCGAGATTTTCAACGCGGAGCTAGAATCGTTCGTAGCTTCGGTAATTGCGACGTGGCGCGCGTAGTAGAGTGTATATACATCGCGCTATACGTATCTATAAAAGCTATAAGCGAGGAGAGGCGCGCAACAATTAATTTGAACGGCCTGCGCTCCGTATACCATGTTTTTCTCTGGCCCCGCCGACGTAAAAATCCTTGTATATACCCGTCGCTCTCTTTCTCTCGTTCCGTGATTTTTTGCACGTCGCAATTGTCAAAAGCATCATCAGCAGCGCAGCTATACATAGGGCTTGTAAGAGCATTCATTAAGTTAATAGCGTACAGCGATTTTATTATGGCAGCTTGTATATAGCGCCGCGCGCGATTATAACTGCTGCCTTTTTTTGTTGCGAGGAAGAAAAAAAAAAGGAAAAGAAACCGAGCGCAATGAGCGGTTATATTATTTTCTCGACTTTTTCCGCCACGCTCGGCTATCTCGCGAGCACAATCGTGTACTTGTGTATACTATTATCAGCCGGGCGTTATAGAGCCGCGCCAACCAAACGCGCGATTCGACGACGGAAAAGGCACCGAGTACGAAAAAAACTCGATTGAATTAAACTCGCGAAATTGATGTGTGCACCTACGATGTATGCACGATATAACAATATAAACCAGAGAATCGAGCTTGCGTACGGTACACGCTATGCCTCAACGTACAGTATATAGGATTTATAATATAATGTGTATGGGTTTTGCGTACGGCCGCGGCGGTCGGCGTTTCGCAGGAGGACCTTTTGATCCACGGCGACAGCGTTTACGACGTGGTCGACAAACAAGACCACATGGTCGTGCAGAATCAGCTGGCCAGGAGCTCGTGCGTCGGCGGCCCCGGGGGGGCCAACAGCGGCGGCGGCGGCGACGACCGCAGATTATTTCTCTGCCGCATCAATGTGTCGCGCAACTCGCGCAGGCAGCTACGCTTCGGAGATCAAAAGGTATATGATATATGTATCGAATTTATATTCGACCTGTATTCCTGCGACCGATAACTCTCGCGTGCGCGGATTTAATAATTTATTTGATAAATATATGTAATAACGCAAAATTCGGCGCAGGTCGTTCTGGTCGAGGGCCACTATCTGCCGTTCGTGCCGCTCTGCAATCGCAACGAGTCCGTGTTCCTGGCCTCGTGCACGCCCGTCGTGCTGCCCGAGACCCGCGAGAGCGTCGTACAGGGCGCGACCAACATCTTCACCAGCATACACTCGATGGACATGAAGTATCTGCACATCGACAAAACGTAAGAAGACGACGACGCGCGGCGCTTTCTTTTTTGCTCTCTAATTGACGTATCGTTGCGAATTCTATGTGTGTACAGAGCCGAGAGTCACATGGAGTACAGCCGCGCGGAGCTCGTCGGTATTTCCTGGTACAATCTGCTCCATTGGGACTGCATAAGGACGGCCTGCCACAAGCATCAAACCGGTGAGTAAAGTTGTTATTTTTCATATCATCGCAAGTTATCATATCCATCCATCCTCTCGCTGCGCAGTCATCCAATCGGAACAGGAGCGATCGACCACGGCCCTGCTGAGGCTGCAGAGTCGCTCGGGCCGATGGTTCTGGGTGCACTGCGTGCTCCAGGTCAAGGACACGTCCGAGGAGTGCCAGCACCCCATCATCGTCTGTACCAATCAGGTTTTGAGGTAGGTGCATCTCTTATATTACTCGATTCGCAAAAAAAAAAAACGAAAAAAAGAAATATAACGCACGTTTGGTTCGACGACGCAGCGAGAAGGAGGCCGACATACTGCGAGCGAGCCCGTGGCTCTATCAATACACGTCGCAGACGAAATTCGCTTACGGAGCTTGCACGGCCAGTAACAACAATAATCAGCCACAGCCACAGCCACAGCAGCAGCAGAGTTCGGTGGTGGTGCAAGCGACCCCGCCCGCGAGCCTGGCGGTTTACGGGCCAGCCGAGCAGCTGCTCGTCGCCGCCACTGCCGACTACAATAACGGCCTTCCACAACGTGGAGCATCCACGACGACGACGACGACGACTACTCACTTGACTTACGCCTTGCCACCGCAACAGCAACAACAACAACACGAGCTCGATCTCTATCCGAGCTCGCTCGCTGCCGCCGCTGGACATCCGATTATCGATGACGCTCGCGCGACTACTGCGGCTCAACAGCCGTCCTGTTGGTCGCCCTCTCCCGACGACTCCAGCCTCAGAGACAGGCCGCAGCAGCAGCAGCAGCACGTGAAGCAGGAACCATCCGAGGTCGGTTTATAGTTTATTTCACCAGAGCTTTTCAACCTTTTTACGACTCGCGAGCTTGCACGCGAGAATCGAGATTCATTTTGTTGTTTTTTTTGTTTCATCAAAATACGTATCGCGAGCTAGCACAAATTTTTTTTAACCAACTCGTGCCATTCAGTTTCGCGCTACATCGTGTTCGTTTAAAAAAAAAGCGAGCGAACACTTTTCACGCGGGGCTTCGATTTTTTTTTTATCAAAGTTTCGATTGAAGCAGAGTCGTAGGAATATAGGTAGTCATACGTGCCCTCGCGCACTCGTGGATCGGATTGCAGCTGCACGAGTCGATCGCCATCGACACTATGTACCCGCTACGGTGTAAAAAACTTGCTCTACACACATCGCGGTGGAAAAAGTCCGCGCGTACTCTACGTACTATACTGCTCTTTCAGCCCCTGATCCGCTATTCAAAAGTTTGCGCGTGGCGAAGCAAAGGAAGCGAAAAAAAGCTGCGCAGGAAATAAGTCTCCGAGCTTTCGGCGTCTTATTTTGCCAATTGTCAATTCGTCGCTACGCGTACCTTTGTTACAATGTCAACGTGTCGCGCGTCGATGGCCGAAAGAAAAAAAAAGAGTTGAAAATTCGACAAATCCTCGCTCGATATACCCTAGGGGGTTACGATACGCGCCGACGGCCGACGGCAGCTGCAAGCTCGGCTCGACGAATCGAATGTATAATTCGCCAAATCCAATCACGCCCGACACTGCGCGGAAATCCCCATCCGCTCGAATTATGCGTATATACGGCAGACGTACGCTGATCAAAAAACTGTGTTGGCTGTCCGTTGCGCCGTGCAGGTGTCATTTGCTGGTGGCGGCAGTAACGAGGCCAGCTCGCAGCAGCAGCAGCGTCACCCGGACACGAGTAACACGGTGATAATCGTCGAGACCAGCGAACCCGTCGACATGTCCATTAGCAATAACAGCTCGCTCGACGATCACAGCTCGGACGAGCAGCAGCATCATCGTCATCATCATCATCATCAGCATCAGCATCAACAACAGACGACGTCGGTCGCAGTTACGACGCAGCAGCAGCAGACGCAGACGACGGGGGGCGGCGGCAGCAGCGCATCGATTCAACACCACTGTAACTCTCATCATCACGGCGGCGAGTATTGCCAGTGCAGCAGCAGCAGCAAACCTCACGCGTCCATGGTAATTCGATTTTCTTACCAGTTATTCTCTCCGGCTCCTCTTCTTCTTTTTTTGTCAAAAAAAAAAAAAAAAAAAAGGCTACGGGGCAGTCGCCGCTTGGGAAATTGACGATGCAACTTTCGCCCGCGCGCGTACACGTTGGAATTGCCGCGGTATACATGCCCAGAGTACAATTCCCAATGTTCAATTAGCAACGCGCGCGCGAGATATAGCTGCGCTGCCACTGCGAGTTTTAATAACTGTTGAAAAAGTCCATTTGACTACAGTAGTTTCGACAAAACCCTTTTCTCGCGCTGCTGCTTCCTTCGCCCGAAATTGCGACGCGACGCAGCCCCCACCGAGCTTTCTTCTTCTTCTGTCGCGTATCTCGTCGCGTACGCGCATATATCGCGCGATAATTTCGCAAAGTTTCTTCCCTTCCCCCTCGGCTATATAACTGCGAGCTTTCGCGTTTTTATAAACACACGCCAGCAGCTTCGCTCTCTAGCTGCGGATGCGGAAGCTGCGATTGCGCGCGGCAATGTATATATGTATGTATCTTAATATTTGCTCGGGAGGAAGTTTCGCAATCGAGATTACCTGACTCTCGAGCTCTTATTTGCTGTGCAGTACGTACATCGTGTAAAGCATTTGGCGACGTCGAATCACTTGTCGTCGACGACGAGCTTTTCGATCAATTTCGCGCGCAGTGCAGCTGCACGAGGATGGGAGAGGACGACGAGATAAATTGATTCGCTCGAGAATCCAGCGTGTATATATACGTGCATAAATCGTTTCATCTATTAAAAAAAAAAGAGAAGGGGGAAAATACATATGATCGATTTTGCAGGTGCAGCACAATAATAAAAGTCCGCCCCGCTCGTCGTTGCCACCGAGTAGTCTGCCTTATTTACGACCGGTGGCGAGCAACAATAAACTTCAGCAGCACAGCAATGGAAGTAACAACAACGGCAACGCCAGCAACGTCAGTAACAACAACAATAACAGCAGCAACAGCAACAACAATCATCACCATCACATTCAGCAGCATCACTACTTGCCGAGCTCGCCGCATCATCACAATCATCATCATCATCAAACGCCACCGCATCACCTCCAGCACCATCACCATCAACAGCAGCAGCAACAATTGTCACCTGGGATCGCCTCGTCGCCCGACAGCGTCAAGTACATCGTCGATCTCGACAAGCTCGGCCATCATCATCAACATCATCATCATCATCACCAATCGATCGAGTCCGAGCAACAACAGATCTACAACGCCCATCAGAAGCGACAGGTGCTGTTGCTCCAACAGAGCAGCAAAGTCACTACTACTCCCGGTACTGCTGCTGCTGCTGGTGGCCTGGACAATTCCAATCATCATCATCATCACCACCATCATCATCTTCAGCATCAACCGCCGCCGCTGCCGCCGATTGGTATCGATCTTCATCCGCACGATCCCGTCAGCGCCGCTGCTCATCATCACCATCTTGCTCTACATTACTCGGTACGTATATAATATATATAATATCTCGACGTGGAAATGCCGATAAATATGCCAAACTCTCCCGACTCTACTGTACCTACTTCTTTGCTTCCGATTTGTGCTGCGCGTAATATATATTTCGCGAGCCGTATAATTACGCGAGACTTTGCAGAAAGGGACTCGGCGTTGGCGCGTCGGAAAATATGCCGTCGCCGATGGAATTTTTTTCATTTTTCGATACGTCCGAGCTACCGGTCGATTGTATGCCCACCCCGATCTCTTGTGCTACGTCGCGCGGCGCGGCGTGAGTGGCCTCGTTTTTTTTTTTTTTGGTTCTCGACGTTTTCCCAGGCAGAGCGCGAGACTTGCTCATTACGCGAGAGAGAGAGAGAGAGAGAGAGAGAGAGAGAAAAAGAGACAGACACATGGAGAGCGGTATTCTCCTTTATTGCTTTTCGATCATTCGTATCTTCTTTTTTTTCTTCGATATTTTTGTACATCAAACGAACTTACCTTAAGTGAAGTTCGATGACAATTATACGAGATCCTTGTTCGAATAATTAAAAAAGATGTAAAAAAGATGTAGATCGCCTTTTCGATCTGAAGTCCACGAATTTTAGAGAAACAAAAGAAAACTCTGCCTCTCTTCACTCCGCTGGGCCGATCCAGGTCTCATAATTTTAGAGCTATACATGTAGTTATTAATCGCTATGGATGTATATTTGNTTTTTTTTTTTTTTTTTTTTTTTTTTGATGGGAGGGTGTTAATTATTCGAACAAGGATCTCGTATAATTGTCATCGAACTTCACTTAAGGTAAGTTCGTTTGATGTACAATTATACTTCGATCCTTGTTCGAATAATTAAAAAAGATGTAGATGTTCAGAGATGCATAGCGATTAATTATTAAATATTAATTTATTTATTAATACAACACTGTAATTATCGCAACATAGAAAACATACATATTAATTCAATAAGGAAATCGCAAAATCAGAATTACACTTTGATATAGGTCTGTTATAAAACTTGCCAAATGCATTTGATTTTTCAGACCATCCTGCCGCATTCTTAATTGTGTCAATATCAACACCTTTTATACGAGCCTTAGATACTGACGCATGTCGGGTCGAATGGCCCGAAAAAACGCTTATATCAATACCGCACTCGCTCATAGTATGTTTAATCCATTTACTCCACGTCTGAGAACTTATAGCCTTGAACGGACTTTTAAAAGAGATAAATAATTGATTCTCGTTTCCTCGAATATTTTTTGTAACATCAAGATAGTGATCTAACAATGAGGCTGCACAGAGTTCGGGTTTTTCTTTAAAATAAGGTAAAATTAACAGCGGCTGCTTTTTACCAGGAGCCGAAGTTTTAATAATATCTGGTATTTCAATTTCAATATTGCCTTCCCGATGAATAATATTATTTATTTTTATAGAGACAATAGTTTGAGCACGATGTGCAGTAATTAGCGCCAATAACATGGCCAACTTCCTTGTCAATTTCTCTAGCGATAAATTATTCATCGGGTGCCAATTTGAAATCTGCTCCAAAACAACATCAACATCCCAAGTGCGATCATACTTTGGTCTTGATGGGCGAACTCTGTGCAGTCCTCGAAAGAATTTTTTTAACATTGTATCATTGGCAATACTATAATCGAGCACAGTTGCGATAGCTGCTTTTGCTGAATTCAGTGTACCATATTTTGCTCCATTATTAAATTTATTTGTTAAAAAATCAATAATTTTAATTATTGGTGCACTGAAACAGCACGCATTGTCAGCTTTACAATAGTTTTCCCATTCGATGATAACTGGGCTATATTGCTTGATAGTGTTTTCGGACAAAGACTTCAACATAATTTCCACGGCGGCCGGAGTTAATCCTTTGCGTATAAACGATTCCCTGATAATTTTCCGGCCATGATTGTAAGTCGTGCCGCTAACGGGTGCGTTATCGACCTACATGGGGATAACAATAATTTTTCATTAGGCCTAAAAATCAACGGCTCCTCTACGAGTAATTGAATAAATAACGGAAACCAAGTTTGTGAATTCCATAAAGGAACCACTACGATGCCTGTGGCTCTATCGCTTATGATTTTTCGCAGCACTTTATTAACGACAGAAAAGGGAGGAAAAGCATAAAAAACGAGATTACCCCATGGCATTGTAAATGCATCAACAGCTGAGGTGTCTGGCTCCTTAAACCACGAATAAAACCTTTTGCATTTTGCATTAGCACGGGTAGCAAACAAATCTATAGATGGAGTACCGAAAAAACTCTTAATTTTATTAAATGCAAAAGAAGCCAGTTCCCATTCCGTGTCGATATTTTTTAACCTTGACTGATAATCAGCATCAATATTTTCAGTGCTCGGAATATAAGAAGCGAAGAGCCACAGATTTCGTTCTTGTGCCCATCTCCATATTTGAGCCGTTAAAACATTATATTTTATGTGCCGCGAACCACCCATACGATTAACGTAAGATAAAGCTGTGGTATTATCTACTCTTAACAATATTTCGCAGCTTTCAACTTGACAAGCAAATGCTTTAAGGCCATAAAAAATCGCTAATAATTCTAAATAGTTAATCGAATGACTTCTCTCTTTATCGGTCCATAGACCTCTTATTTTATCACCGTTGCAAACTGCACCCCATCCTGTCAATGAGGCGTCTGTAAAAATTTCCAGCTTGTATTTTAATTCCCGGATTATTCGTTTACTATGTTTTAAATTACTTTCCCACCAATTTAAATCGGAAATTGTAGCAGATGAAACAGTCATTTTTTTATCGTAATCACCATTACTATTCCTCAAAGCATTTGATTTGTCAAGTTCCAAATTTTTAGTGTACAACATTCCATATTCAACTCCAGGAGAAGCCGACACAAGTAACCCTTGCAGCTGTGCATAATCTCTTATTTTATGAGATTTTGGAGAGTTTAAACATTTCAACTTTTGTAACATATTCACAATTCTTCTCTCCGTTAACTTAATTGTAAATTCTTTTGAATTTATAATAAAACCTAAATAAGTGCATGTCGTAGAGGGCAATAAAACGCTTTTCTTATAATTTATAACAAACCCTAAGAACTTGAAAAACGCGTACGGTGAATAACAAATTTTTTTGACAATTAAATATCGAGTCACCATACAATAAGACATCATCTAAATACACATTCGAGCGAAACCCTTTGTATCTTAGATACTTGAAAACTTGTTTAGTAACTTTTGTAAATACCCAAGGACTTGTACATAAACCAAAAGGCAACGTGACGAACTCATACAAATTTCCATCAAAAACAAAGCGAATATACTTCCTGCTCTTGCGAGATAGCGGCACTAACAGAAAAGCATTTTTTAAATCTAGAGTACATAAATAATCGTCGTGGTTGAGCAATTTACATGCAGACTTCATGTCTTCTAATTTAAAATGACTTTTATCGACAAATTTATTTAATTCTACGAGATTCAAAAAGAATCTATTTGATCCATCAGGTTTCTTTCTTAGAAAATAAGAAGATATAAATTCGCCGGCTTCATGTTCACACTTTTCAATAGAGCCATTTTGTAATAACTCGCAAATCGAATCTGACAATTCTTTCTGTTCAATTTTTGACCGCAATCTCTCTTTCGGAATTTTTGATTGATACACAGTACTGTGAAAAGGAATCTCATATCCATTGATGCATTTTAAGACAAACTTATCACTCGTCAAAAGATGCCAATTTTCCACGAAATGTGTTAAGCGGCCGGCAAATTTTATATCTCCTTTCAACGTTTCCGAGAGTAATTCGGATTCCGATTGTTTGAATTTTGATAATTCGATTTCGAATGTCTCGAATTGGCTGCATTCTTTTTGTAATTCGAAAATTTCCGATTGCCCACCTGATTGGTATAATTTTGCTTTGCAGGTGGGCGATTTGAGTTTAAATNGTTTTCTTTTGTTTCTCTAAAATTCGTGGACTTCAGATCGAAAAGGCGATCTACATCTTTTTTACATCTTTTTTAATTATTCGAACAAGGATCGAAGTATAATTCCAGTTGTGAAAATCTTGAGCAAATATTTTATCGAAACTTTACATTTTTCAGTTTCGTATATATGTACCCCCCGTCCGGTGTGTTGCTCGCGAACCTACCACTATCAATTTTCATTTTCAACGCCGATAAATTTTCCCCCCGTCAGAGCGCGGCGAATTTAATTTTGATGCATCAGACCGCGTTGTGGCAGCTATAAATAAAAAATTTTGTGCAGGAGCAGTGGACTGCGGCCTCGCCCGTACTGCATCATCATCATCAGGGCTCGTCGCCGGGCCTGGTGGGTCCGTGGACCGACGCGATGCAGCTGCAGCAGCAGCAGCAGGACCTCAGCCCGTACATGACGACGACGACGCCCACGACGCCGGCCGACGACTCCTCGACCTCGGAGCACGTCCACACCCCGGAGACGCCGCTGCAGGGCTCGATCTTCAGCTTCGACGGCTGGCCTACAGCCGAGCAGCACGTGCCGAATCTCCGACTGCTCTCCTTTCGCAGCAGCAGCAGCAACAACAACAACAACAACAATAATAGCGGCGTCGGAGGTCAGCAGCTAGGAGGAGCTGGCGCCACGACGACTACCGCCGTAGCCGCCGGCCCAGGTTACGTGCTCGAGCCTCGTGGACAGCCCATCACGCTGCAGTTGCCCAGGAAAAAGCATCTGCAGCAGCACGCCGACGCGAGGGATCACGCCAAGTGATGAATGGACGTGCCTTAATTTTAACCATTTCTCCTGTTAGTTGAATAAGATTTAGCGTAATTTTTTGGATTTAATTCATTTTACTATACGTTTTATCATTTTTGAATGTACCTTTTTTCCCAACGCATCGAGGAATATTTAATTATCGTACTTTTCGAGGTCGCAAATACGCGCGTACTTCGGAGACTATGAACGCGGCTTTTTTTTCCCTGTCAAACTCTTGACAAGTCTGAAAATGAAAAAAAAATGAACTGCAGCGAAAAAAGTTTTGGGAACAATTTGCCGACAGCGATACAAATTTCTTCGGATTTCAACGAATCAGTCAACGGAAAATATAAATGATGTATACGCTTCGGAAAGATTTGACCTCGATTTTTTTTCTTACTCCAGACTTTGCTGCGCGCGCGTTCGTGTTCGATTGTGTGTGGTGAGAAAATTTGAAAGAAAAATTTAGAGACGACTATCGGAATTTTTTTCAATATGAATCTTCGTTTATACTTTTTCGAATTTTGACAAATTCAAATTATTTACGAATGATCGATTCTTCTTCGTAATCAGTATACTTTAAATTTTCCATTAGAAGTTTTTGAAAGTTGTGATTTTGGATCAATTTTTTTTGAGGGATTTCTTCAACTGCAACCTACATCGACAATTTTTCCTTTGGTGTAATAATTGTACATATAAATAATCTTTAAATTTGATCGTCGAACCTTCATTTGTAAAAGAAATCGAATAAAAAAACTACTTCGAGAATAGCGATGAGATTAACACCAAAATAAAAACATATTAAAGTCTCGAATCATTATGTTTACTTCGATTTACTCATGCATATAGAGTTGCCAATTAATGTATAAAAATAATATGATAGAAAAAAGTGTGATTATAAATTAATAAATTATTATTCTTTCCTACAGATAATATGTGCCTATATAAATAATGTGTATTTACTATAATACTAGAAGTGTCATAATAATGTATGTACATGAATACTATCATCAGTATTCAATATTTTTACATTGAAAGTTGTATGTATGAAAAACATCTGTCTTCGACTCATGTATTCATCAACTCTAAACATTTTTCATTGACAATCATTTGTGTTGATACCTAGAAACTATTTTTAAATAAAATCAATAAGCGACTAAGTAAAACAGTATTTTATAATTTTAACTATACTTACGTAAGAGCCAAGCAGAGGTTCCTAAAACGAATAAAGTTTACGCGTGGTCAATTAAAAATCAGTGATAGAGCACATAAATGAAAGTACAAAAATGATATTAATGCATGTAAATATAATTAAATGATATTTTAGTGCTTGAAATTTAGTTATTCATATAAATCAAAATGGAATTGAGAGTTCAAATTATTATCATATGAATTATATCTTTTTATTCATTTATTTATTTATTTGTTTAATTTAGTTTATTTTTTGTCAAAATTATTATTAGTAAAGGAAACGAAGTATATATATATGTATTAAGGCCAAATTTATACTCATACATTTATTGTACATAAAATTGTGAACGTCGATATCTTTAAGTAAGTTTCTCACATTTGTTTTCTCATAAGTAAAAGTCCTTTGATCAATGCTTTTATCGTTTCGAGCCCTCCTCCGTCAACTTTCGTTGGCTTTTCTTTTATATCATCTTCATCGACGTTACATCATTATTTTAGAACAATTGTACTATATAAATAATTATTTTTTTGTCTAATTCAAAAGTAACTCCGAGTCACGACATTATTTTGGATGATAATTATAATCAAAACACTTGTACATTCGTTGGGCTTATATGCATTAGCGCGAAAGGAACGGAGGGCCTTGTCAAACCAAGCGAACTTCAATTCTATAAATTATGCGTAATTTGTATTTTCAAAGTCTTTCAGGTCCAGAAGAAGTTGCTCGTCGCTTATGTCCGGATTTCGATAAAATTGCTGATTTCCGAGGACTTTTTACAATTAATCGTTCACCTTCGAATTACTTGTACACGTCAAAATTAATCGCTTAATAATTATATTTATATATAAAATACGTCGTGCGTATTAGTCGATAAAAGAAAACGAAATGTGCTATAATGTCATGAAAATTATAGCATTCCTCGTTTGTCTTTACTTTTTAGATAGGGTCGTATTTTTTTTTTCGATCAACGGAACATGTCGTGTAAATTTTTTTCTTCTTGTTTTATACATTATAAATATGAGCCTATACATATTAGATATTATTGTAACACGTTTTTTCACAAAAAACATATTTCGCTCTATGTTATATAGAGGACTCGTAAAATCATTTACATATATATTCATTGTATTTTTTTTTATATTTATTTTGTATATACGAGAAAACAACCGCACTGCAGTATAATGTCAATCATTCACGTATATCATTAGCGCTATGTTTTTTTTACTTTTTTTTTTCTTTGGTAAAACAATACTTTTCGGTTTTTCTTTTCTTCCCCTTCGCTTAGTCTGATTAAAAAAGTTCGTCTTAACAATTTGTATCCTTGCAAAAGTTTTTTTTTCACGCGGACATGAATCGGAGATGTTATTGTTCTTAGATTAATTTTATTTGTATAATAGATATTCGATAGGATTGTTTAAAAGTCGCAACTTACATATGGTTTCGAGATAGATTCAAACAGAAGACGACATTATTCATGGGGCGTTCGTTAAAACGAGCTTTTGATTAATTATACTTTTTGTACAGCTCTCTCTCTCTCTCTCGCAATGAATAATTTTTCTCTCCTCTTTTTTGTTTCCTTTTCTGATTCGCGTCTCACCTGTCGAACTCGGTTCGACAATTCGGACCAACGATTTATCATGCATACCAATATTATATATAGGTCACCAATGTGTATCGTGATATAACTTGACATACGCGCTCCGCTCAAGGAAAAAGACAATAAAAAAATTCGAGTTTTTGTTGTTGTTGTTGTATGCAATATAGGGTACATATGACCACGACGTAGTGTTGAGTTATAAAATAAAAATATATCTTTTAAGCAACAATATAACCGCTCGTTCATTGTTCTCTTTTTTTAAATCACAAAAATATTTCCTTAGTATATTTGTATCATATTCTATATATCATGTACTTAGTATATTTTTTTTTAACTTTTGTAATACTTAAAACATTGGAGTCTTACATTGCAATATTCATGTGTTATGAGCTACGTAAATCGTATTAATCTTTTCGAATGATTTCTTTTTTTTAGCGAAGAAACAATATTAAGGATCAATCGCACATACACATTTTGACACGTGATTTTCTTGAGCTTATTCGCTACATTATATCCGCCATACGTAGACCGTGTAAAAATATAAAAACGCAACGGGTTAAGCGGTTAGTTTACATTATACAATTACCATGTATTATCATTATTATTACTATTACTATTATTATTATAATTATTATAATTATTATTATATAATAATGTAAAACATTAAAAATATCGATTTTCATAATCTGTATAGTGGTTACAGACTTGCAACCTGTATATTATTATATTAAATGATGTATATATAAATATGCATACATTCCATGTACATCATATATAGTAGTTTAATACATTTATATACGAGTAGGTGAGACTATTATATAGCATACGATATCATGTACAGGGTATTACAATTATCTTGTAATTTCAAAAAATTTGCACCACTTTTTTCCTATTACACGTACACGGCTATATGGGATCGTTAATTTCAGTTTTACCCTTGTTTTTTTTTTTACCTTCGCGCGCGAATAACACACAACAAGTCTAGAATGATATATCTATATTAACCGCGGTAATTGTCTTAACGTAATTGAGACTCGAGAATGTCATATTTTTCACGTACCGTATGTGTATAGCGTGTGCGGGGCAGGGCAAGAATTGTTTCGCGTCTGTGTGCAATATATGTGTGTACAGCAGTCTTTGAAAGGATCTATGGAAGTCGGTGGCAAAAATTATATTTTTCACTGCCTTTTTTCAGCGTAATTTAAAATGAAATATTTCGCGACAAAGAAAGGAAATTATCACTTTTTTAAAACATGATAAAAAATGCGCGAAGATTCAATCAATCTGCATCGATAAGTATAACAGTTGGATATATCCGCGGTTTCGTAGAGCAAAGAAATCATATTTATTTTATATTCAATTATTCGTACAGGTGATGGGTAGTTGTTAAAGTCGAGCTCGATTCCTCTTCTCGATCGAGAGTTTTATTATCGAGATTTCAGACGCAGCCGCGGATGAACATCGACATCTCCTCCCTCTATCTCGATAAAGTCCACATAGATAATGCAAAAATTGGCACATAAAGGCGAGCATCGGCAGCGCTCGGCACTCGTTTATTAAATCGAAGGCAATAAAAGAATACCACGAGAGAGCTGGGAAGATTGCATGGAAATATTATGAAAAGAAGCCTCGACAGCTGCCTGGGCTGTTTCTCTCTCTTTTTCTCGTAATAATGTTTTGTATGTATTATAAGTGTATACGCTCGCGAAATGAAAACGCGAGAGAGAGTGAAAATTTACGCTCGCGCTTGTTATCTCGAAGGAAATATATTATAATATCGAGAAACACAGAGAGGAGGCAGGAGAGAGAAAAAAAAAGAATGGAAAACAAGCATAGCGGCAGTTCATTGGAAGTGAAAAAGAAGCTGAGAATCGAGAGGAGAAGACGGCGGCGGGGGCGAGGATGACTATATCGCTTCTGTTTCACTCGGAGCGCGGACGTTGCTTGGCACCATATAGCCCCGGCGCTGTTTTATACATGCGATGCGCGCGCGGATCATTTTTCAAATCCAAAGATTTTATACTCTCGTCCGCTACTCCGCGTGTATATGCACAGCCGCGCAATAATGCATCGCGTTTTATTCTCGCAGCTGATATAGTTATCGCCGGCGCATCCTTCCTTTTCCTCTGTACTGTGCTCTCTGTTTATATCCATATTCATCGAGTATTGATTTTTCGTTTTCTCTTGTTTTTCGGTGAGAAAAGCTCGCCGCGCTGCGCCCGAACT